CTAGTAAGGTGTCAGGGAGAACACAGGCTCAGCCCAAAGACCTGTACAGTAAGCAGGTGCTGAGGAAGGCCAATTCTATCATTGGTTCTTTGGACCACCCCCTGAGGGAGCAGTTTGAACTTTTACCCTCAGGACGACGCTATAGGGCTCTTGGCTGTAGGACAAAACGGTTGGGAACTACATTTATCCCAACAGCTGTGAAGCACCTTAACAGCACATAGCACTTTTACAAACCTTTGCGCTGAAAATGTGTTTTTGTGACATTCTCTTTTGTTCTTGTTTTTCTCAATGTTGTGATTTTACTGTATCTGCCTGTTTTTTTAGATGATTTATGCTGCAAAACCAATTTCCCCTAGTGGGACAATAAAGACAACTTGAACTTGAACTAACTCCAGACACGCTCTGCATGACACTATGGCCGCTCAGAGGAGTAATCAAAGCAACAGGCTCCTATCACTACGCTGCCGAACGGAACGTTTCAAGAGATACTTTGTTCCTTCGGCTGGTAGACTGTACAACAAACCTGACTGACTGTCAGACTGTACAACAAACCTGACTGACAAAAAAAGAGTCTTCTGCTGCTGGACACCTGAATTTCTCCTACGGGGAGTATCTATGCTCGTCAAACAAGACCAGAGCTTTTTTCAAAAAATGGAGAGGGTGGTTCTTTCCTGAACTTTTGGGAAAATCCTTCTATATAGTACCTTTAATTTCAACACCTACTTTTTTCGAATGTGCACTTTTTAGCAAGTCAAATATAACCTAGTAATGGAATTGACTTTCCAAGTCAAACTAGCAATCTGGCAGAATCTTGCAAAAAACACTCCACACCTGTAGGAATAATGGCCAATTTACAAGCTGCTCAGAGAAGACAGAAGGCACCTGTTGTCCTGGTCCACACATGTTTCCAAGAGGGCACTCCCTGGCATGTTCCAGAGGTGAGCTTGTTCTTGGCACCTGCCCAAACAACAGCATAAATCTGGCTGTGTGTGGAGGGAGGAGACGGTGATAAGGCCATAAAAGTGTTTGTGCCGAGGGCCTGTACATGTCACGACAGCCTCTACCTGCACCAGTGACCTCACGTCTAGCGGCCCTCTCTCATTACACTGTTGTTTTCCACCACCTTCCGCACGCCCACACTTTTATTCATGACCCGTCCACCTCCATCCTGAGCAGCCGTTGTTTTGTGCTCTCCCTGTAACACCTGGGACAGCTGTAGAGAAACAAGAACACTGCCAACATTCCAACACATTCCGGATCGGAATGCCTGGGCACAGCCACAAATCGCTGGCATTCCTTAATTTAAAGGTGCAGGCTATCATTGTCTCGCTAAAACAACATTCAGGCTTGTGGGAAGTGTTGGAGAGTTGACAGCTTTCCATATAAATGTGTTTATAGCTTATAGATTATTAAAGTACCTGGTTTGTTTGAGCAGTGGTGGAATTTATAGATTTGGTCATTTTCTTCTTCACGACTTCATTAATTGATTTTTTTTTAACATAACTTTCACAAAAACATCTCAAAGTGGTCCTTGATGTGATTGTTTTCAGTGCGGCATGAGTCATAAGACTTTGTGGTGTCCATTCCCTACAAACGATGGAATACTGTGACTCTCCCTGTCGTGTTAGTAGATATCATGGTATTCTTGCCTGTGTCTATTTTGGTCTAATGTTTAAAGTTTAACAGCTTCTGTGGTGTATGCAAATGTATGTGGTGTAAAGCATGTGAACCCCTGTCCCAGGAGGAATTTCTCCTATGGGAGACAATGAAGAAGTATGTCTTATGACATAATCAACTTGGTTGGGCTGTGAATTGTGCGAAACCGTAGCACTTTGAATGACTCTTATCCCACATAATAATTTGGATGTGCCATATGCCAAGTATCTGGTGGAAAGTGGTGTAGGGACAGATGTAAATATAGTTACTGTATGTAAGCTTCAGAATCCTCCAGATGTCTTTCTCAAGCTTTATGGATACAGACATAAAGACAGGCTGTAATTATACATCTGCAAATTACAACAGAAGCAGAAGCCATCATCTTTTAATCTGTACCTAAGGAAACGTCATTTTACCGCATTAGTTACCAACAAACCAATACGTAGCAGGTTGGCTGAGTGAGTAGCACTCATGCATCACAGCGAGAAGGTCATGGGTTTGTGTGGGCCTTTCTATGTGGATTTTGCATGTTTCTCCTTGTGCCTGTGTGGGTATTCAACGGGCGCTCCGGTTTCCCCCGCCATTCTACACATGCATCATAGGTACAATTGGTCAAATGTTGAGGACACATTTTCCATATGGGGATCAAACCGTATGGTCTACATTTAGAAGATTTCAAACAACACTCTGCACTATGCACATTGCAACAGCAGAAATGGTTACTGTTCATCTCCAACCCTGATGTTGAGGATTGATTCTGTTCCCAGTGAAAGTTTTTGTGGTATACTGTCAGACCCTCAGTCCTGGCAGTGTCTTTGGCAGCTTCAAGAATCAAATTAGAATGCCCCACTTAAATTGTGTACCTTTAACCTTAGAATAATATTCATTAAGTGAATAATATGACATCAAAGTATTGTTTATCTGTTCCTCAACTGTCTACTCAAACACTTGAAGAATAGATTTGATTAAAAAAAATATAACCATCTTATTTTTTTCCCCGTATAAAAACCACAAGATTTATAAAAGGAATAGTTACTCAATGTTAGCAGCCAGCCCTCCCACCAACAGCCTTTTAGTTCCTCCTGAAGGCTGCATGTGCGTCAGAGCAGCTCTGGTACAGAGAAGTGGAGCTTTTGGACTTTTTAGGAAGGAAACACATCTGGGGAATAAGGAAAGAGCGAAGGGGTAAAAAGAGGAATCAACAGAAATAGTCACCTCGCTCTGTTTGGAATGGAGATGGAGTGTGCCCCTTGCTCTCAGGCCAAGGTCTGTGGCTCGGCAGCCAGTTTCATTTCCCAATTTTCAGTTACATCATTACCACAGTATCAATGTTTTCTTCATGAATTTGGGATCGTTGTATAAGGCTTATTGTTATGAGGCTGATCATGATGGCAAAGTGGAAAGCATGTTTGTAGAATGCCTGTCCCCAGCTAAGATACTGTATGACCATAAATCAATGACCAAGCTGAGCTCAAGAGTTAAACAGCAGTGATTGTCGCTGCTCATAAGCCTACCTTACTGGTGTTACCAGGTGCAGGATATGGAGATTCTATTATTTTGTTTCATAAACTTTAGTTATGGAGATGTGTGGGTTTTGACATGTGCTCATAAAGCAACAAAATGTTCATGATCCAAACAACTGCTAAAATTTGACAAACATGCATTGAGGACTTGTAAGGGTATTTTCAAATATAAAGTAAACTCATATTCAAAGGTGTGGGAATGAAACAATTGAAACATACATTCTATTGATTATGAGTTATAATTAGACACAATTTGTATTCCTATCTCATATGGATAGCCAAATATGGTCAAAAAAAATGTAAGGTGTGTGGCCACACTTTCTTCAATGGAAAGGCCGGAAATGAGTTGAGAAGCAGGTGTGGGCTTGGTTCAGTGCAGGTTAGGCCAGCCAGGGTAAACAGGAAGTCGTGGGCTGGAGATATGTAAACAGTAGGGTGGTCAATACAACTGATTTGGCTGACAACCACTATCCTTTTATCAAAAAGAATAGTAGTGGGTGTGGTTTCGCCAGGCTACATAAACAGGATACTACCAAAGAAAAGGGAGTTGGTTATTATTACACAATATGTGATTGAAACAAAAAATGGTTGAGACATTTGAGAGTTGAATTTTTTCAACTTCACTTCAAATATTAAATTGGGTCAAACATGTTCATTGGTTTATAATATCATTGTGGGTTTTCACCTCACCTGCATTGTGCTCTGGATAGGCACAGACATCACTAGTAAACTACATTATAAACATTATTACAATTATTACAACAATTATACAGTTAATTGTGATTTCAGAATCAAATAAAGAATTGTTCTCCACATAAATTCTAGATTGCTGTGATACACGAACCCTATAAACGCTGGGATGATGCATTTGTGGTCAAGTGCTTCTATCTTGTAAAATATTACTAGTACAAAACATCAGCATTGACATTTATACTTATACATCACTGAGGAATAATTATCTAACTACAAGTTTGCTTGTAGTTGGAAATTAAAATCACAATTTATAATCCACCAGATACAACTGGCAAACTGTGACTTCAGTCTGTAGTCTTAACTGATGCGCTACTGTCCACTAGAGCCATCTAGTGGTGCTTTAGTATAAGAAACAACCAGTGCATAGTTATAGTGTCCATTCCACAGATTGGTCCATGCAGTAAAATGTAGTATGTATTTATCAAAATCAAAGATGAAGGAATCTTAAAGGTGCAGTATGAATCGTTTGTTGCTTCTATATTACTGCTCAAAAGTCTAAATACAAGAAGCCTCTCTGTAGATATGACCTGTAACTTAGCCTGGTGAAGTCACTTGCTTGCCTGCAACATAGTGTAGATAAATTCATATCATACTGCCAGGCAAAATAACAAACACTGAACAAGTTATTCATCACAGCAGGTTCCAAGTCTTTCAGCGTAGACTATTTTGGTTAATAATTGCATTTTAGATACACACAAACATTATGAAGTAGACCATCTCCACCTTTATATATTTGCTCATTCTCTTCGTGTTTATACTGTTTGACATTAGACATAAACACAGAGCAGACACGGTGCAGGTGCGACTGTATGTCGCAGGAAACCCGCGGCAGATAGACGGACCTGAGTGGCGTTACCCCGTCTCCATGGCAACGCTGTCGGGAGTCGGGACGGAAGCTCTGCGAGATAAAAACAGGTGAAACGCGCACTCTCCGGGGCAGCAGGAGGCCATGGCAGGGTAACAACACTGGACTGACGTGGAAGAGTGACAGAGCTGCAGAAAAAACATCGTGTAAAAGTTGTAATCCACTGCCTCCGTCGCTGACACGTATGGTCTGTGTCCGATACGATGAGTATGGACAAAGCAGAGCTGTGTGACTCTCTGCTAACTTGGGTAAGTTTACTCACGGCTAAGTTGTATTAGCGCTACTGTTAGCCCGAATCTGGTTCAGGTAAAAATAGAATCTCTGCTTAAGTAAGAGCCCCACTGCATTCCTTCACATGTTGTTTTTGCGAAGAGTTAACATGGCTCATAGTCGTAGTAATTCACACTGACTTAGCTACATGGACAGATAAGCTAGCGGCTAAAGTAACCCAACGCTAGGTGAGTTTGCGCAAGGGGTTGAACCACTTGTTTACGTGGCTTTTGGGTTGCCTCTGATTTGTGTCATCATATATCAGAGTTGATTACTTGGAATGGAGAAAGAGACTCTATTAAAGTGAACCCCCAACCCCCCCACCTGTTATGCACCTGCTGTGTTCTACAGCTATAATGTTTTTATGTCACAATTTTTAAGAAACTGTTGCATTATTATATTGATTATTTTAATATTGTGAAATGACGTAATATTATACTATCCCTCAACAACCTAGTTACACTGGAGCACTCGGAAGAAACCTAAGCAGCCTCTGGGAGAACATTAAAACTTTTCTCGTAAAGTTCCTGTGCTGATCAGGACTGGACCTGGACCTTGTTGCTCTGCAGCGAGAGGGATAACTAGTCTCAATGCTTTTCTCAAGTTTTTAGATGAGGAATTCGCCATTCATGTTTCTACCTAAATCCCCTACTTCTAATCTAATGTTATTGTTATGAGAATGCTCACATTTTCTATTAACCTCACCAGGAAGCTTTATGGTCTGTTGCTATTGCTCTGTACTGTCAAGTGTAGCGGGATATAACTATATATATATATATAGCGGGGGGGAGGGGGGTGTGACCAAGGTGCCCCAGAAAAAAAAAATCACACGTTTATTGCAGTAATTTTTGTTAATATTTTTCACGAGGAGTTAGTGGACATGTGTGCCTTTAATATGAGCGGCCTTTGTGGTAATGGTTATATTTAAAGTATTAGAGTAAAATGAGTTTGTAAAACACCTGCGGCGCAGCGACACGAAGCAGGAGCCGTAGTTCTGAGCAGAGCCAGAGCAGAGCCAGAGGTCTCCAGAGATCAGAGAAGTATTTGGTACTGGCTCACTCAGACTCAGAGGAGGAAGACACGCAGGTCTCCAGTGAAGCAGATACAGACATTATTAGCGACAGGAGTCCGCGTCATAATAGTCCACAGTCAGCCACAGTTTCCTCCGTGTAGCCCGGTGTTAAAGAGGTCCGGCTTTTCGGAGTCAGCGGTAAAGCGGTCCGCACATTAAAAGCGGATAGCCGCTTTATGCTGTTACTCACGGTAGCATTGGAAAGAGAAGCCGCGGGGATGAGCCGCCACAATGCACGTTTTAACATAAAGTGGCCACCCGCTTTTAATGTGCGGACCTCTTTACCGCTGACTCCGAAAACCCGGGCCTCTTTACCGCGGTGTGTGGCCGCAGTGGAAACATTCTGCGAACGCGAGGCAGGAGACGTGGTGAAGGGGACAGGGGGGTCATAACACCGGGCATGTGGGTGAATGCAGCGGGGATAAACAACCGCGGGGAACGCGGCAGACGTGGCAGAAGCCACGAAAGAAAACACACCGCTAATCTGCCTTTACGGACGGAGATGATGATGATGATGAAGGCAGAGAGGAAGAAAATCCATAAAAGTGGATCAGAAATGTTGAAGAGCCTGTTGTTTATTGTTGAGACAATCTGACAAGTTCTGAGCCCATTCATTTAATCGCTCTGTTTCTAAACGATGAATTCTGGAGCCTCATTTCCACTGAGACAAACTGTATGCCACCAGGTCTTTTGAAAGGGTAATATTGAAACCAAACTGCAGATTTCATGACTGGTAAACTATAAGCAGTGCCATCTTGATCATTGAAGGTCTAATACATAATACAATTCCATATGGCTGCTGACCAGTGCTAAATTATTCTATATAAATTGGATCAGTGAATTTATTCCTATCCCACATTGTGTTTTCATACTAAATATATTTCACATTGACTGTTGACAGTATTCACAAAGCTCAAAATACACTCTCAAACTACAGCCTTTTGAAATCTTTATACAATAAACATTTTCCAAAATGGCCACCACCTTGATGACGTCACAGTATGCAAATTAGATGACGAATCAACATCCATCTCCATGTTTGGTTCATACCGAAGATATTTCTCATTTACAATATGCCTTCATCTCAAACTACTTTAAAGTTATAGCCTTTTGAAATCTTGAAATCGAAATTGTAATTGTAATTTTTTTTGAAAGAAATGGGCTTAGTGCTGTGATGAAAGTCCCTCGCCAATGGCCTGGGCTCCGCACCGTGCTCCTCTTTGCTGTCATCGTTGCAACATGAATGAAGTAGGGATTCGCACATCAAAAACCTTAGGAGCGGGTGCGTTGGAGAGGAGGCCTGTTGAGCCTAAAGTCAGAGAGAGAAGAATCCCGCACACCGTCTTAAATAATTTTTATTTGCAAGTAAGACGGTGTGCGGGATTCTTCTCTCTCTGATCGTTGCAACATGTCCAGAAGTTCAACTTTTTAGCACTAACCATCTTGTGGGTTTAGTCCATGGTTTTGTCAAGGAGAAAATTAGCATACAGCACTTACAGTCACACTGCAATCAGACATGGATTTACATTTGTCAGTCTGAATGCTGTGATACAGGAAACACTGCACAGAGATTACCCCTTAGCCAATCAGGACGCAGAACACAATGCGCTGGTTCTTCCTTAGCCAATCAGGACGCAGAACACAGTGCGCTGGTTCTTCCTTAGCCATCCATCCATCCATCCATTTTCTACCCTTTAATCCATTTCTGGGTCAGGGGGGTGGCAATCAGAGATGCCACCCAAGTCTCATAGCACCAGCCCCTCACTGACCCTCTGCAGGTGGTGAGTCCACAGGAGGACGGCTGCTCTCTGAGTGTGAGCATAGCCTTGATCTTTCAGTGGGGGCTTTGGGCAAAGTGGGGTTAAGTGTCTTGCCCAAGGACACAACGACAGCAGTCATCAGTGGGAGTCGGTGGAGAAGGTGTAGAGGTGGGAATTGAACCCACAACCTTCAGGCCAGGCCAATGCTCTACCAACTGAGCTACTGTCGCCCTGTTCTTCCTTAGCCAATCAGGATAAACATTGCAAGTTCATATACAATGAAAATCATGCTACAAATAAATCTGCAAGACCGCGAAAAGATAATCGCTATTCATCTGAGGAGACTCCGATTCAGAATAAAGAATAACACATTTTTCCTGTACGGAAGTTTCTGATTTGGTGTTTGTATGTAATTTCTTTACTATCATGTTTTAGATTATAGATTAGACAGTGAGCCAGATCAGATATATCCCAATGAAAATAATGTTTTTGCACTTTATGATGTGAGAATTGTATACATGCATGTGTAAGAAAATTGGGGGGGGGATATCCCCCCCTTGGGCCATGGCTAGGGGGGGACTGATCCCCCCCATCCCCCCCTCTGGAGGAAACCCTGCATTCATAAAGGGCTGGGAAATGAATCGAATTTAGGCAATTAATCTGCTTTTGAAGAAAAAATTAAATTTCAAATTTGTGAAAATTGTGAAATCGAATGAAGGATATTTTGAGTTCCAGCAGCACATGAATTATAATTGCAATATCAGCACAGTTTGTACTAGACTTTTATAATATGTACTGGGGGAAACAAATTAAAAATAGTTTTTAAACTTGAATATTGAGCGGAAAGATCAAAACATATTTTTAAGGGCAAAGTCTGTCTTCTGTGACTTTAAAGAAAATCGAAATCGTCCAAAGTAGGAAATAAAATTGAGATTGTACTTTTTAGCCATATCGCCCAGCCCTACATTCATACATTTCCTGATCAGTTTTTTTTTTTTTTTTTTTTTTTTGCAGTTACTGCTGTTTATAAAGCAGCAATAATATTTGTTTTTTCTCATTGCAGTTACAGACATTTCAGGTGCCATCCTGTAACAGTAAGTATGACCTGACCAGTGGAGTGGCCATTGCACATGTGCTGCACAGAATGTAAGATCACAGTGTGCTATTTGTACATTTCAAACTCCTTTTCTTCTGAATGTCATTGTTTTCTTTGCTTGACGTTATCAGTGACCCCTCTTGGTTTAATGAGACCTGGCTGGGCAGGATCAAGGAGGAGAACGGGGCTAACTGGCGCCTGAAGGTAATTGCCGCAGCTCTCTCAACTATGAACAAAAATCAAACCTGTCTGAAATGTTATAGCTGTGCAATTCCCTTTTTTTAGGTCAGCAATTTGAAAAAGATTTTGAAGAGTATGCTGGAATATTTTCAGGATGTAAGTTTCATTACATTGTTGTTTTATAATCAAATTGAAGGCAAGCCTGTGACAAAGCTCACCATCTGAAATGTCATGTCGGATCATTTGAATGAAGTTTTTGGTAAAGCAACTTTATTTACCAAAGATGTAATGTATTTTCTAAAAAAAATAAAAAAAAATTAAAAAAATGTAAAATGTGGTTCACATTTCAATAGTATTTATAAAAACAGCTGGTATAGCCTACATTTATTCAAACATTAAATTATCTGCATACCTAACCATTCTTTGGGTAAATGTACATCAAATAAGCATAGATATAATGGTACACTTTCCAAACGTTATAAATAAAGGTAATGACCTACAAGTGAACACAGAATTTGTTTAGAAAATGTAAGTAAAGTGGTTTATGACCCCTGTTTTATCGATCAGATATTGGGGCACCAGATCTCAGACGAGCACCTCCCGGATGTGATCCTCATTGGGGAAATGGGCGACGTGACAGAACTGGGAAAGCTAGTGCAGCTGGTTCTGGGCTGTGCGGTCAGCTGTGAGAAGAAGGAGGGTGAGTGGAGCTCTGACAGCTGTCACATGCAGTGGTCCTTAAAGTACTAATGGTGCTGAAGTGGGCGGAGCTTACTCGATTAAGGTAGTAATACTCTGGACAAGCTTGTGAAAAAGGCCATTCTACAACATCATTACCTCATTTCTTGCCTTCTTGAAGGTGGCAGATGTTTTCTTGTTTTTTTTTCCCACCTTGTTTTTAGGAATGCATGTATTGGCATCCTTTTTGAGGGGATTTGCATGAATCTGAATTTGCCTCTATCTGAGCAGGTTGTTTTTTCTTCCCCAGAGCAAATCCAGCAGATAATGACACTAGAGGAGTCTGTGCAGCATGTTGTGATGACTGCCATTCAGGAGGTGAGCATATTTATGATGAGCTTTGCATTAATCCTGCTCTTAGTCACACTTCACTCACAGTCTTATGAATCCACTGAATATTTGACTGAATAGAACCAGACATTTTTTTTAGTGAATTCAAGGATGATGAAAATGTGTTTGTCAGATAATCTATTGTGTATGCATTACTTAGTCTGAGCAAAGCAGCACATTTGGTATTTCTTTATTCTTGAACATTTGGATTCTGTCTCTTGTTCAGCTGTTATCAAAAGAGTCTTCATCTGAACCAGGAAGCCCCGAAACATTTGGAGACTTTGACTACCAGGTGAACATTTTCTTTACTATAAAAATCATCAGCCCTTGTCCTGATGTCCTTTTGCACTCAAACAACATTGTATTAAAACTCACTCCCTCCCACTATGAGCTGCAATTTCCTGTTTGATGATTCTCCACAGTCCAGGAAGTATTATTTTCTGAGCGAGGAGGCAGGTGAAAAGGAAGACCTGACCCAGCGTTGTAGAGATCTCCAGCATCAGGTCTGTATCTTTTTGTTAAAGGTAAAAGTTATGAATTTGTACCTTTCAAAACCTGGGATAAGAGTCGTAAGTTACTATGACTTTATGCTTCAACTGTGCGGAGAATTTGTCACTTTATGTGGCTTGTTTTTTGTTTTTTTACGATTCTGTTCACATATTGGTGCAGTTTGCTTGATCTGTCACACAGCCAGTAAGTCAACTCAATGCCAGTGGTCCTTAATGATTTTCTTGTTATACTGAATATAGGTCACTCATTGTGCTGATTTTTAAATTTTGGGGCAAAGAAATTCTCAGTTTGGCTTTGTTTTGCAAGTTCAAAATGATCTACTTTGGAGAGTTTACATGCATGTTCAAACAATCTCCCTCAACACAATATTTTGCATTTGTTTTATAACGTCAATGCTTTAGTTTTACCACCTTTTCTGCGTTGTTGTATTTTAAAACTGTCTTTTCTGTTGTCCACCAGTCTGTATTGATTAGTTTTCAGAGTCCATGCCTCCCGCTCTTGTTTTTCCAACACTGCCTGATAAAGGAGTTTTTCTTTTCTTTTTTTTCTTTCTTTTTTAAACCATCGGAGCCACGTTTCAGTTGCATAACAAGATAAAAACTGACACATTTGCCTGGGGATGGAGCCATGGCCAACAATAATTTGTACCGCTCCCTCCCACCTGTTTGTTTACTGACGTAGCCCACGCAATAGGAATTAGTCATTTGTGTTGTTTTGATAGCTAATTACTGGTGCCGATCTTGTACTAAAGCATGCAAGCTGTCCGGAGAGATCAGTGTAGGGTTTGGATATACGTTGGATGTACCAATCAGCACAGCACCTTAACATAGTCCTGCAAACTCTCAAGTAAGCCCTTATGGATACTGATTGTATTTATTATCTAACTGGGTCTGTCCTCATCAATAAATGTTTTGGGCTTTCATAATTGTTTTGTAAAGGTGAGAATGTGTCAAACAATTGAGTAGCAATAAAATAAATGTAGTTGGAAGTAGAGTTTGAACTGTGTATAATAATTTGAGCATAAGTTGACGCTTCTAGTTACTGCGATTTTGTCTTTTCATCTCAAAACAATAATTACTTTTGCCTAGAACTTTTGAACATGCTATTTCAATTTTAGAATGAGTGACACTTAAATTACATAAAAAGATTATACACTTGATTATTCGCCTTTTGTTCCCAGCCAATGTTCTTATTTACAGCGGTTTTATTAATCGGGATTTTTTTTTTCTCCCGGGGATAATGCAAACAACTACAGCTATTCATAAAGTTCCATCTGCCTCAGACCATTGCAGATCAGCTGACTCTTTTTCAAGTTCATGTGAAAAGAATATGAAGCATGTTGCCAGCTGTTTGTTCACTTCAGCAATGAACGCGTTCCTTCATCTTCTCTCTTTCCCTTCCACTCTTTGACAGTTGTCCATGGTTTTGGAGGAGAAGTCATTGCTTCAGGCCGAGACCCGGTTCCTCAAAGAAAAACTGAGCCGCTCGGACTCCCTGGACTCTGCCACAACAGTCATCACAGGCAAGAAACTCCTGCTGCTCCAGAGCCAGATGGAGCAGCTGCAAGAAGAGAATTACAGGTATATCCCAGTCATGGATGGTTTATCTATCTATGCATGCATTCTGTCTATCTATACACTCTATCTATATCCATCTATGCACTATATCCATCTATACCATCTCTCTATATATGCCCTCTATCGACAGTATACCCTCTATCTATCTAATGTATGCCCTCTATCTATCTATGCTATCTATGCTCTGTAATACCAAGGAAATAATGTATTGGTTGAGAGGACGGTTTCATTTATTTTGTCTGTTAAATGAGTTGCTTTGTCACCTTGGCTTCACGTGGCATGCAGAGGGGATCGCCGCCTCACCATTATTTATAACTTGTAGATTAGACAACAGCAGAGACGACTTGCGGGTGCGGAATGACATTCTGGAGAGGGAGGTCCTGGATCTGCACCAGAGGAACGAGGAGCTGACCAGTCTGGCTGAAGAAGCACAGTCCCTCAAAGACGAGATGGACATCCTCAGGTCAGACGCACAACTCACACTTTTGATGAATTGAATGTTGCCCTCGAGTGACTCTGGTAGAAGTGCACAGCTGCAGTTTGTCTGCCTAGCGACTTGATTCAGCTCGCATGTGTCTTTAGATGGAACAAATGGGCAAACGACCTCAGTGTCCATTTCACATGTATGTAATGGATGTATCTAGAATACCAGTGCGCTGACTCGCTTTTACAATGGTAGTTTCCAACATCTCTCATCATCAATGTCCTCTCCCTCAGACAAGACACACACAGGAACCACTCACTACTCCTGAGATCTTGAAGCTCTGACTCAGTTTGAACCAAGAATAACTAATGTTTTAGATTTTATTATCAGAATTTATAGCGAAGGAACATAACACTTATACAATTGAATCACTATTTATTTATAAACAAATAATTGGATTATAAATTTAATACATTTCAGTCATAATCCAATCTTGTCCCAATGTTAAAATGGGCTGAACGCAAAAACGGTCATAATACAGGAGAGTAAAGCAGACAAACATCAAGACAAAACCTAGTCAATGTGGAAGAGTAAAATACATTTAGAGTGCAATTTTAAAAGGGGATACTGATGGAGCTAGCCTTATCTCTTCAGGCAGGTCATTTCAGAGCTGAGGAGCTGAGGTTTTGTGGTAAAGCAATAACATATCCATAACAGTTACTAGTGGGGCATGTGAGCGCCACTTCAAGGGTGTGTTAAGTGGAGAAAGAACTCCATACAATGAAGAGACTGTCTGCTTCTCTTAAAAGCACACTGGTGCGTCCTGGGTACTCACACCCGCATTGTTCTGTGTGCATTGTTGACCTGCAGGCACTCGTCGAGCCGGGTGAGCCAGCTGGAGGCTCTGGTGGAGACGTACAAGAGGAAGCTGGAGGACTTGGGCGACCTGCGGCGACAGGTGCGTCTCCTGGAGGAGCGCAACACTGTTTATATGCAGCGCACCTGTGAGCTGGAGGAGGAGCTGAGGAGGGCCAACGCTGTGCGCAGCCAGCTCGACACGTACAAGAGACAGGCAAGTGGGAACGCAGATAAACACGCTGCCAAATACAAAACTGTTCTTGCAACATTCTGATCAGAGGCAATCAATTAGAAAAAAAGTTGATATTTGTAATAGCAAAAAAATTGCATTCAATCTTCTTGTTCAAATTGTGAGTGCAAGATAAGGAGCCAAAAGCATTTTTTTAACTGAACTGAATTGTATTGATTTTCTTGGAAATATATAGTTTAGAATTGAAAGTGTGTCCTTGCTTACGTTTTTGCATTTGAAAAGCAATCTTGTTTTATATAGCTGACTTCACAGACCAAGGTCACACACGGAGCTTTACAATTTTTTGATATTGCCAATCACTCCACACACAGTGAAAACAGAAGCGAGGTCTCTGACTGTCACCATCCATTCACTCATACCTCAGTTTCAGTGGTGGGCACTCGAATGAAACATGTGTGGAGAATATGCAAAGTCCACACAGAAAGCCCTGGAGGTAGAACCAAACCCGGGATCTTGTTGCTGCCCTTGTGCGTCCTGGATTACACACATGAGCCTAGTTACAGTATATTATGTCTGAATTCAACATAGACTTTGTGTGACCTTGATATGTGAAAGGCACTAGATCAGGGGTGGCCAAACCTTTTAGGAAGAGGGCCACTTTAGTTCAACAGAGTGGTCCAGGGGCTGACAACATGGAGTTTGAGCTATACTATTGGGTCTGATATGATCCATATTGATTCTCACCACTGCTACACTAGTGCCGATTTGTGACAATGTTTGTAGAAATGCAGTCAACAGCTGGATTTCAAAGGTTCTGAGCATTACAGCGAGGTATGGCATTATTTTATATTTGTGGAGCTGAAGTTAGCTGGATGACATTATGATTCTTCAATGGCTTGTTTGTGTTGGGCAAGGCAAGTTTATTTGTATGGCATAGTTTAATCACAATAACCCCACATTACGCTTTTTGAATGTTCTCTGCTTTAAACATGATTACAGTGCTATTTGGCCTTCACTCATTCTCTCAAGGTTTAGTGAAAGAGCGATCTTTTCCCTTTCATTCTTCGTAAACTACTGTAACTTAATAATTAGGGTTCGATTCGAGATTGAGGACATGGGGCTCTGTGTGACAGGTCGCTATTGTTGGAACAGGTTTATTCTCAGGTCTGAAATAACTAATTACCAACGAAAGCTGAACAGTTGTTTCCTCGTTTACTTCCTAGTCAGCATGAGGTGACCTCTTTGCAAGAAATGTGCAAGAAAAGTTTTGAGTGTTGTATGGTGTATCCCCCAAATTAATATCACACATGAAGATCAATTATGGGACCTCATAACGAGTCACAGAACCTGTTTTTAACATGGATTTGAACATTGTCAGAGTAGTATATTACATTGTCAGAGTAGTATATTACATTTTCAGGAAGACTGTTCCAGATTACAATTGCATAAATCTGAAATGCTGCCTGCTCATGTTTAGCCCTGACTCAGAGGAGCGCAGGAACTGGCTACGAGGCCAGTAGCAGGAGTACGACCAAGGCAGAGGGCCACATGACGTGTAACAGTGGGCCGCATTTGGCCCGTGGGGCTTAACTTGGACATGCCTGCGCTTGGTAAATAAATCTCACTTGCACTAGTTGGTATGTATCATTGTGTTAGTATTCTATCAATACTTTCACACAAATTGGGTTTGTGGATTATTGGAAGCAGCAGCAGCAGCAGCAACACTCCACCAAGACTCCATTTAAAGGTTACTTTGTTGGCTTCCGACGGGTGTTTTTTTTTTTTTTTTTTACCGATCCAGGCGAACGTCGCAATCTGTGAAGCCTGTGAGAGGAGGGCAGCCATACTTGTTGTGTCAGTGAAGTGAAGTTAAACACAGGCTGGCCCGTGCACGTGTCTGCAAAATCCTTGCCGTTTGTGAAGAAGTCTGCGCCAGCTCAGTGTGTTGCTGTGCTCTGACTTTCTAGGCTCACGAGCTTCACACCAGGCACTCTGCAGAGGCCATGAAAGCTGAGAAGTGGCAGTTTGAATACAAGAATCTTCATGACAAATACGACTCGCTGCTCAAGGAGAAGGAGGTGAGTCGAACTACATCAACAAAGTTCAGGCTCCATACAATAATGTGTATAGTAAGAATGTAGACCGTTTTGCAATAGAGTACAGATTGCACAACTTTTTCTAATGAGGAAAAAGTGAAGCAAATATTTCAGTGGGGTTTTTCGGTGAACTTCCCACGTCCTGTGTCAATTCTTGCACCTCCTGCGTTCTGACACCAGTGATTCATGTTCTCAGATACGTTAATGAAGACATACTGTACTGACACTATGAACTGGGCTGCATGATCGAGGTAGAGGCTTTTTATTTCAGCACGTGAGAAAAATAAATTATGATTTGTTCCAGCGTCTTCTCTCGGAGCGTGATACGTTGCGGGAGACGAACGATGAGCTCAGGTGTGCCCAGGTCCAACAGCAGTGCCTCAATGAAGTGGGTGAGTGGTCGGTCTCTACCTGACTATAGTGTACATGAAGAAAACACACACCCAAATATTAAGCTGGTGTGAAGATTTTCTAAAAAGCCTCTTTATGGATATTTTTTTTTTTTTCCTTTTTTAATTCTTTATCCAGTTTTTATTTTTTTATCTAGATCAGGGGTGTTGAACTGCTTCCAGAAAGAGTCAGGGTGGCTGCAGTTTGTTATTCAAAGCAGCAGCACATCATACTCCTCCCACTTCCTCAAGGCTACAGTTAAGACCGGACTCACTTGAGTGGAGTCTGGTGGTCATGCTTTGTTGGAATGAAAACCTGCAGCCACACCTGCCCTTTTAGGACCAGTTGGACACCCCTGATGTAGAGGATTCAACTTTCATGTATAATGTAAAATGTATAATAAACTAGTATTGTGCCTAAACTCAAGTTTATGTAGTGTACTGTATATCACACATTTACAACAATGAGTCATGAAAACGCGTGAGTTGAAGGGAAAAGGGAATTAAATGACCAAATCATGAGTCTGCTCAGTTTGTCCAAACCCTGCCTAACCTAAACTGTAATGTCTTATTCCATCCTGGAGGTTTGTTGATGGCTTTCGCTCTGTGCAGGATCCCTCGGTGACAGCGAAGGAGCCGGCAGTCTGGCCTCAGAGATCATGCCTATGGAGCTCAAGTACGAGGACACTTAACATTCTCACCGCTGTGACTAACCATAACAGACGAATTCACTTGGTGTCATTTGTAGGCCATACATTCACCCTCTGAGGGCTGGGGTAGTGGGTTTGTCATGTCAACGTTTATTTATAGCATGGATAAACATTTGGTCCTGCTTGCAGCAACACATGGCAGTTGTGCACTTTTGGCCGGGGCGTTGTCAGATGGCTGCTACTGTGCCCCCTGTCGTGATCTCAGAGGGGTCAAGCAATATGAATAGTGTTGTGTGGGTCTAGCTCACATGATCAAAACTATTACTAACAATTACAGGGCTATAATATGACTGGGGGGTATAATAAACGTCCAAATCAATCAAATACTTCATTGGAGAAAGTTGTACTGTACTGACAATGCCCAGACTGGTGTTTTTTTTTTTAAAGATTAGCTATTCAGACTGGAGTTTGATCAACTTGCACACTAATGTACTTGTGAAGAATGTTAGAGAATGTAAATTTCTTTCTCTTTAGAATATATTTGATGTAGAGTACATCTGATATCTGTGTTTTTCTTCCTTGCAAAAGAGTCTGGTGAATCTAATGATTTTAGAATCAAATAACAAACTGATCAATGTTGTAAATGGAACCCAAATAATGTATTAAAAGATGCTCAATGATTTATACTTTCTTTTGTTGTTGTTTTTCGGACATGATTTTGTGACAATATTCTGCCATTTCACATGCCACTCATCAAGCGCAATGTGTTGTGTGCAGAGAGACCGTGGTTCGTCTGCAAAGTGAAAACAAACTTCTATGTGCCCAAGAGGAGACTTACAGACTGAGAGTGGTAGATGTTCAGGCTGAGCTGGAGGAGTCCCAGCGCACAAACAACGCCCTGGAGACTCAGAACAGGTGAACTCTATGTAGCCGATGCACTGGTTAGATAAAGCATGGACCATATTGTGTGTTCTTGGCCGTGGAGAGGCTTGTTTGGCTGCTGGTGGGAGTGATATCTGCCTAAATGTCAAGCGGCCCTCTGGACTGTGTGCTGTGTGGGCCGGCCGCAGGACAGACAGCCGAAAAGCCAGATTGTCCCTTGGCTGGTGCTTGTGTGCGTGAGTGTGTGTGTTTACAGGCTGTGGGCATGTGGAGAGGTGGGTGGATATCTATGCAACACCAGGGCCAGGGTGTGGGAAGACTCCTCAGCAACACTAGCAGGAGGAGACCAGTGAGCATGCTCAGTGACGCCCTGTGGAGAAGGCCTGAGAGGCCGCTTGGTTGAATAAATGTGCTATTTTTATTATTGTTTTAAATATTCAAGGCTACAGGTCAATAAATCAATTTGATTCCTTCTTTCTAGATTTTTCATCATTAAGGTGCCATAGTGAGGGACGATGTTTCACATAATTGGGACACGATGTTTGTTGTTTATTATTTATATGGAATATGTTATGTCCAAGGTATTTGGAGGTTTGGTGATTACTTGGAATCAACCAACTTCAGTTTTCCAATTGAATCGACCAGTTTTGTAATCCAGTAATCGCCTAATGAGCTACGTTCACACTGCCACCGCTGACTTCAGAGAGTGGAGGGGACTTCAAAAATATGTGTCTCTTAGAACTGAGGAGCTATTGATGAATTGATCATCACTCAATATTTCCTTTTAGCTCCACCAAAAGGAAATATTGAGCTGTTTTACAATCAATACATGGCTGCCTTGCAAAATGAACTGTAAGCTGTTTTAGCATCTTTGAATGATAAATCTTATCTTAGATCAAAGATTATCCCACAGTGGGGACATTTCAGTGTTGCATCATAGGTTACAGAACATTTATAATGAGGAGCACACAAAATAGTTTCCTAAGATTAAAATATTGGCAGATAAATTGTTAACTACTGATGCAGAATCACAAATTCTCCCTTGGCAAAAAAAGTTTGAGTGACACATTTGTTGGAAAATACTAAGTAGCGATATATAAGATTTTCATGTCAAGTCATCATTAAATGGCCCTAATCTGTCAAAAGACATTAATAAAGCATGCTCTTTTCTAATACTTTAACTGATAACAGTAGTTCAGCCGAGATTGAATTTCAAAATTAGTTTTACGGCCCGTAAATCTTGCTATTGTTTTCATTTCTATGTCCACCGTTTCACAAATCGGAGAGTCCGTGATCCAGGTTATCAGAACTCACTTGGCTGAGCTACTCTCACTGGTAAAGTAACATGGAAGGAAACGAGGATTTCTATCGGGCCTTTGTGAAAAAGATGTTGGTTTTAGATTTGTTTTTGACAAAACTCGTTGTTGTCGTTCCCCTTGTCTTGATGTTCTGAACATTGTAAAGTGCTTTGGGTGACCTTGATCTGTAAAAACACGCTATTAAATATAGCTTAAGATTTTTTTTTTTTTCTTTTTTTGGATATATGCATATAAAAAGCAAACAGGTACAAGTCCAAATGGGAAGAGGTAAAGCTTCAGGAATGTTGAGTGTGACGGATTAGTCTTGATAACTTGTAGCGGTAGTGTCTCTGTTCATGGCCTCTTGATTGCATGTCTTCAGGTTGAATGAGCAGCAAATCACAGAACTTCGCACTCAAATCGAGGAGTTGCAGAAGGCGCTCCAGGAGCAGGACAGCAAGAACGAGGATGTGAGTGAAAACATTTCCAAACTGACCAATGTTTCAAAACTCGTGACGTTATGTGTGCATGGCCTTTTTAAAGTAGATCGTCTGGTTTCGGGTTTTGGTTTTATTGTCTGATTTTGTGTGGAAGTAGACAATGTTTGCTGTGGTGACTCTTGCTAACCGCTGGTCCTCTGTCTGTCTGTCTTTCTACCTGCCTGCGCCTGCCCCATTGACCATCATGCCAAAATCAGGCCATCGTAAGTACGGCCACCCTCAGTCCAACTGGCACATGATTGAACTCTGCTTTTATGAGTTTGCAGTGTAAATATTTGTGGAAGTCATAACAAAACAATATTGGTCTAATGTTGGTTTTTTTCCTTGTAGTCCTCACTTTTGAAGAAAAAGCTTGAGGAACATTTGTAAGTATTTTTCTATTTGTAATACGTTTGTTTTTATTTTATTTTTATTTTCAATCTCCCTGCCATGGTCTTATCAAAGCTAAGTTAAAAAATCTTCTCTGAATTAGTCGTAAATATTATGTTTTGAATGCGCTTGTAGATGATTCTCTTACCTGTGGCCATGACAATATTATACCTCAGGAAAAAAAAAGAAATCTAGAATGTAAAGACAAAGGTGTTTTCCCCCCAGAGTGAAGCTTCATGAGGCCCACTCAGATCTGCAGAAGAAGAGAGAGGACCTTGATGACTTGGAGCCAAAAGTCGACAGCAGCAGTGAGTGGCACAGCTCAAAGCCTTAACTCAGAACTTTGACATGTTGCCTTCTTCCATTTTTTTGTTTTATTTTCTCAGTGGCAAAAAAAATAGATGAACTTCAAACAGTTTTGCGCAAAAAAGATGAGGACATGAAGCAGATGGAAGAGCGCTACAAAAAGTACATGGAGAAGGCGAGAACGGTGAGTCTACTGTTGACAAAGTTTTACCATTTATACTGTTGCTATTGCACCCTTATGTAGGCATTGGTATTGTATGTAAGCTCTCCATTTTTATTTTGGAAAATGTAAAAATATCCATGTGTGATTTATTATTTATTTATTTCACACAAAGGTGATCAAAACCCTGGACCCAAAGAAGCAGCCTGTTGGTCCGGACGTCCAAGCTCTGAAGAACCAACTGTCTGAACGAGAGCGGAAGATCCAGCACCTTGAGGTCTTTTTAATCATGGATCTATTATGACTTTTATACTCTCCTCACTTTAACCTAATGAGGTTTTTTCTGATTTAGCACGATTATGAGAAGAGCAGAGCCAAATACGACCACGAAGAGAAGCTGATCATCTCTGCCTGGTACAACATGGTGAGTACATGAATGAAATTAATATAGGATGATGTCTATACACGTCCTTATTCATTCACAATTAAGTATTTTGGGGTTATACATATTGTCATTGTTTGAAGGATAAAGTTTTTCACAGATTTCAAAAGAGCAAACTCGATGTTATTCTCTCTGAGGGTGGAGTAACCGTTGTTTGTCCTAGGGCATGGCGTTGCACCAGAGTGTGGCTGGAGAGCGCCTCACATCATCGCATCAGAGTATGTCGTTCTTGGCTCAACAGAGGCAGTTCACAAATGCCAGGAGAGGCCTAATCCGGCATCAGCCCAGATAACCTCCTCACACACTCTGGACAAACGGGAAAGAACTGGAAGTAACTTGACTTCACCTGAAAGCCTTCAGTCTGCTGCCTTCAGAGCACCTCAGACTTCTGAAATGCTGCTACTGCCCCCTCCTGGCAGTTGAACATTTTTTCTCTCTGGTCTCAGAGAAGAGCTGCTGTTTTCTTCTATCCAGAAACAGCCCTATGTTACCTTCTGAGGTAGCTTTTTATGAATTTTTTGTTGTTGACAGTTTTATAATTCTTGTATTGTACTGGTGAGAATCTTAAAATGACTATTGAGCCGAGGAACTAGTTAGTAAAATGAATGTACTAGTTTGTAAACATTACTTGACAGGGTAACTGGAGGTATGGACTAAGTAATTATGCTACTTTCGTGCTTCATCCTTTGTTGTTGGTACATCTTCTTTGCTGTGTCCGTTTTGTGTTTTTGTGTGTTGGTTTGTTTAACATAGATGTACAACATAGAAGGATATTTAATCACGTCTGAATGTTCACCGAAGAACTTTCCTGGGAAGATGGGTTTATCCTGTACCTCATTACATCTTAATTTATTTAACACTGCTTCAACGCTTTGTGCATACTGTCATGGAATGTCAAACTCCATATGAATGGCTAGTTTATTCGAAATGAGTGTCTATTTTTATGTCTTTCCCAAATAAGTTAGTCATGGACCTATTTGCACTCACCACTTTTGAATCTTTTGTCTTGTAAGGTGACTCTTAAAGAACTTAAACTTTCATCAGTCCAACTGGATTTTCAGTCTGTTTATTACCAAATACTGGCTTTTCATGGTAGTATTCTCTTTGTGAAAGGGTACATGTTTCTTCAGTTAATTTTTGAGATATAATATGTTCTTAATCCCGGAGTGCTTTACTCTACACAGACCAAAATGCATTGTGTGTGCACCTTTTTTTATATACAATGTAATTGATTTGTAATTTACACTGGGGTTTGGGTAGTCTTTGGTGTAGAATATAGTACTTCACTATGGAATGAGACGAGTGCATTACTTTGCACACCAAATAAATAATTTTGGAGTAAAACAAGTTTTAATTTCTAATTTCTTTCGCTCTTGAGAGGAATATGTTAAGCTTATGACTGTACTCTTCAGTCAGGGATAAGTTTAGGTGCTGAGGCTTTCAAACATACACTTCCGTGTCGACAGGGTTCGCCACAGAGCCGTGTCCACGGAGCAGATCCATAAAGGAAACATGGCTGCCTGCTAGGACCGGGGACTAGCCTCTTGAGAACCCGCCCGTAAACCTCCAACTAAACGATTCAAACGGGATTATAGACGTGTTTCACCCACCCAGGAATCGTGCATCTGTTTTATTCTGTGACGATACCTGATCTGGAAGACGTAAACTCGGGCGTCGGCCCGGAACCTTTGCTGAGTTAGCCGTGGACGCTGAGTTAGCTTCAGGAGCTAGCTTCAGGAGCTAGCGCCACCTTAGATTGTTTTTGGAAGAAGACCGAAGCTGACAGTTTTGGTTTCTTCTTTGGGACATGCGGTTATTCAGATTTTGATCAAAACTGTTTTGCGCTTGGCTCCCATCACTCAGTGCCTGCATTTTTAATCTTTGTTGAAAAGAAATTAGGTCATTCAAATCAGCACGAAGAACACTTGTTTTTGGGGATTATCTTTTGATTTCTATTCGATCAAACATGGAGTCCAAACATGAAGCATACGACAGCAGCAGTGACTCCAGCTGCGGGAGCCCGGGATCACCTCCCTCCAGCCCGGCCCCGGGCAGCCCGCCTCCAGGCTGCAGCACTGGGGCCAATGCTTTCGCAAACGACGGCAGCTTCATGGAGATGTTCAAGAAGAAGATGGAAGCGGAGAAGCGGAAAAAAGAAGCAGACACAAGTGGAATCGGGACACGTACCGAGCATGCACCAGAGGATAAGAAGTCCCCGGCTGTGACCACTTTTGTAAGGGGTTTAGCAGTAAGATCATACTACAGTTAGTATACATTTACAAGGAGTACAGTCAATAGTATTCCATCTATTATAGACCTATTACTTGTGTTAAGTGTTGGTGGGTTAGGCTGTACTTTGATGCTGGCAGAAGACTGAATAGAACTTCTGCTCTGGTGTAGTCTCCTTCATTGACAATCCATCTGCAAGGGCTCGTATAACGCTGTCAGTCTTCTATGCCTTAACCCAGGTGGGGAAGCGCAGAGGCGGTGTGTTCCTAAAGACTGGCGTGGTCGCAAAGAAGCAGAAACAGGACTCAGAAGTAAGTGGTGTGTGTTTTGGGCTGGTTTCCACCTACCCCTTAACCTGGTGTCTAGTATTGTTAGTACTGGTCCATGGTCTCAGTATAAAATCCACCCAGGCCAAATAGGGCTCAATAATGGAAACTAGGCTTTTTGTGCGAGTGGCACTATTTACCAATGTAACCCACTGTTTTGTCGTCTGCAGAAGGAGCCAGGCAAGAGCGATGCTTGGTCAAAGTACATGGCTGAGGTGAAAAAGTACAAAGCGCATCAGTGTGGCGACGACGACAAGACACGACCTCTTGTAAAGTGAACTTCTGGTGGAGAAGTGTTTGAGGAAGACTACCCTGGAGTCTTGTCTGTTCAACCATAACTTCATTGTTTTTGTAAATGCTTAAATTACTTTTTGTATAATTTTGTCTAGTAGATACTATACTTTGTCATCAAGACTTTTATTTTCTCGTCAAGTGGGTTCATTTTCTTATTTTCCTACTCATTTAAAGCCAAACTGCCCTTTGTTTTACTCTTCGGTAATGCAGAACCTTCTGTCTGCCAGGGAGCCATTGGTGATACAGGGTTTAACCTTCTGTAAAAGTAACTCTGGTCAAAGTTGGGCTGCCATGTGCAGCAGCAGTCACAACTGAAAGAGGCATACTTGATTTTGGAATAAAGTGATCACAAATCAGACTCTTGCAATGAAATTGTGGTACATATTGACTAAAATACCCATTTGATACATTTATGGAAAGCTTTGTTTTTAACAAGTTTTACTTTGACCTTCGCCAGTTATTTATAGAAGCAACACAAGTTACTAAGATAATTTTAATGTACTATACAACTAGGAATTCAAAGAATTCAAATTCAAAAAAGTGTACAATTCTTTAAAAAAACAAGTTCAAATTCATCAAATTTGCACTTTACATATTTTACAAGCATCAGTAATAATTACATTGTAAAAACAGCACCAAATAGACACACTGACAATGCATCAAAGGACACAAAGGCACACTTCCAATCAGAATTGAAGACATTCAGGCAAACCCCAAACCTGAACTCTTCCCCCATACCTCTCCACAGTGTAACAGGTCTGTAAACGTAACAAAAAAGGACTTTGTAGTCTATTTCATATCAAGTCTTAAAAATGATCAAATTGTTTACAAAAGTGCCACATCTCGGTGGAGCTGTAATCTTTTCTATTTGCTGTTCTTTGGGTCTGTGTATCCTGAACCAAGGTCGATCTTGCTGTGTCATAATGTCTTCCTCTTAACTTCTGCATGGCTTTGAGTGACATCTGCAAAAAAAACAAGACATTTTTTAATTGCATGGCCATACAAGGGAACGAAATGTAGGACGCGTGTGACGAGACCAGTGCAAATCCAGAGATGATTGAAAACAACAAATGAGCCAGACTTTTAACTGACACAATATAGTCATTGTTTGCAACAGTGTGAGCACTTGAGCAGCACTTTTGAACAATCTGGACCTGACATGCACTCGTAAGGCCTCCAAACACAACTTAATTCAAGAGTGAGCCATGGTAACCAATCAACACCAGGTGGAAGTGAAGAAAGAGCACACACAATGACAAGACGAGGAGACTAGGACAGGGGCAGACAGGGGAAGACGTTACCTGAGAAAGAGCGCTGTAAGTGAGGAGGCAGAGCAGTCTGAGAGCCTGACTGGAGACTCTTAAACACATCTGAGGAAATGGGACAGGAGCGGACAAAAGGCATTTAGGTAGGAAACAGAGGGGGAGTGGGCAAACACAATCAATACAGGAGGTAACATGTACACAACACACAACAAAAACTACACAAAACAACCAGATAACACAAATCACGTCACCAGTCAGCACAAATCCCTATTATGCCCTTCTAGATTTCGTTAAGAAAATCTAACAAAAAACCCATTGATGACAAACCAGTTGTTGGGTCCTGCAGTAGATTTCTTATTCAGGAGCTCACAGGTGTTTGGGCTCTTGTGCTCATTTACCACCACCCCATTTAATCCATTTACACACTACAACTTACAACCAAGTATATAGACAAAATTAAAACAGAAATTGAAGATGGGCACTCACTCTGCGTCATTGTAGAAAAAGGTGTGTTGCTACTGGCCGTGGAGCCGCTGGCTGTGGTCGTGGAGCTGGACGTGGCAAGAGGGTTGAGGCTGAGCAGAGAGGGAAACTGGAAGGGTAAAGACACGGGCACTAGACCCCCCAGCATCCCAAAGCCCAAAGGGAGAGAGGGGGATGAGCCCAGCAGAGAGCTGCTACCTGATGTGGAGACCTACAAACACAGTGGAGACAACTATGAGGCCCCTGTACCAACCAGCATGAAGCACAGGTGCAATTGCTGTAACAGAGATTTAAAAACCCTGTATGGAATTCATAGTCCCTGGGTGCAAAAGTGCCAAATATTGCACACTCTCAAATCTTGTACTCAAGTCTTACTTCCTCTCACCACTGGGGGCTTCACTTTTCTGCACTGATTTAGAAGCTCCAAATGTGGTCCTTAGTCCAGTTTACAGCAGGGGTCTCCAACTCAATTTAGCTGAGGGCTGCATGAGGTCCAGTCTGGGTGAAGCTGGGCCACATTAAGGGACGTATTTATCACATGTTTGTGTGTGTGCAAAATATATGAACATTGGAAGAAATTCATCTTTGCAGATACAGAACTAAACCACTAACTTTTCACACGCTAATTTAATTTGCACATGCAGTGCAGCTCCTGGATCAATAGAAATTCCCATGTTTCTATAATCTTCTTAAAACAGGGGAGTAAATGAAAACAGGTTTATAGCTCATCATATTGACCTAATTATTACTTTTGTTTAATTTGTGGACCTCATGCAGCCTCCAGTTAATATTTTATTTATTTTATTAGTTTAGTTGACAGGGACATTGTGCATTAATAAAACTTTTCTGTAAATGCACCAGAATTAGCCAAGCAGGCTATTTTTCATCTGCAGTCCCCATTTAATTATTGTTTTTTTCAATGAAAGAGTTGCTTGGATTGGGAAAAAACTGGACCCAATGCTAAGAGTCTTTGTATTGTAGGCTGCATGTTTACTTTTTAACTTTGAATTATTACTGATTGGGTTTATGTTTTCTGATGGCATAAATGACATGGTTGTTTTCATGATCAAATTAGAGTTAAAACGCCCTTACGTTAAAATATCTAAACAAAATATAGACAAAATATCTATCCCATATTGGAGACCCCTGGTCTACAGTTTGGTACCCCATCTCGAAAAAAAAAAAAATATATATATATATACTGTATAATACATAATTATATGTTAGTATTTTTTATGAAACACCCAATCATTAATATTATCAATATCACCGTCTGTGGAGAGAATGGAACAATATCTGAACTCTTAACATTGTAAAGCGCTTTGGGTGACCTCGGTCTGTAAATTTGCGCTTTATAAATACATTTATTACTTATTCCATACATAGTGGTGATAAATTACTGCTGTTGCCACAGCTGTCAGCCCCTCCGACCACCACAAACCATTCATGCACACACCAACAGTTTGCAGCCGCTCCCCACTGTGGCACTTGGTGTTCCCAGAGGTCTTCCATCACAGTACTACCCAGGCCCTGCCCTGCTTATCTTTGCAGATCTGACAAGTTACTTTAACATGCAGGTGGCCACAACAACACACTGACTTTTTCTTATTTTGTATTCTTAAAAAGATTTTGGCTTTAATGAGGATACCATAACAATCATACGTACCTGTGTTATTTGAGATGAGGTGGTGGACGAAGGCGTGAGTGTGATTGGTTTGGCTCCTTGAGGTGTCCCTGGCCCTATCCTCTGCCGTGGACTGGCTGAGGCAGCTGTGATGGAGGCTGCTGTGTTTTTGTTCACAGGTGAGCTGTTGATAAGGCTTGATGTGGTGCTGCTGGGGGTCTTCTGTCCCGGGACAGTAAAGCCTCCTGGGCCAGGTTTGCCTAACGCTCCGGGAGAACCTGAGAACTGTGGGCGGAAGGAGGCAGGGCTTTTGGGGGAGTACTGGTGTATGGCTGATGCTGCCTGAGACCTGGGGGGTTGCGGGAGGGAGAGCGAGGACACACTCACCGCAGGGCTGGGGGCGCGAGGGGACAACTTAATGATGGGTACAACACTGTTGTGCGAGGGTTTGGTGAGCGTGGCGTGCATGGGGGTGATGAAGTTAGACTGTGGCTGAGCCAGGCCGGTGGAGAGTCGAGGAGCGGTGTAGGGCTTTGGTGTGAGGTGAGGAGGGGCTGACTGGAGCATGTGTGGACGAGGGGATGAGAGAAGGAGAGTGTCTTTTGAACTGCTTCCCTTCACGAGGTTTGAAGGTGCCATCAGTGGAGAAGAAGTGGCAGGGGGGCGGGGCTTGGGGGGCGTGGCTACTGTGCACACATTGGCTTTGGCCACTCCTACAGTAACAGTTCTGTGAGAGTTCAGCACTGAATGTCTGTGAACCTGCGGTGAGTTTTTCCCTAGATTGTCCACTCGAAGCCCCCCGACTCCAGCTGAAGAGGAGCTGAGGGAGGCGGGCCTGGACAACGGACTGGACGTAGAGGTAGGCATGTAGTGAGTTGTGCTGCTCAGAGAGTTCTTTTTGTGCTGCTGAGGGACAGGGGACTGATGAAGAATGACGGGGGGTTTCGGGGGTTTCGGGGCCTCAGGGGACGGGGGGCTTTCTCCCTGAGCGAGACCCTTTGCGGCATTGCCGAGGATGGCTAAGGCCTGGGAGATGGAGTCAAGAGGAGGAGACGCTTGGACATCATCGAGGGAGTCGAGACATATGGGCTCGGACGGGGACTGGGGTGGCCTCTTTGCAATCGGTAACGTCGACGGAACGATTGACGGCGTTGCCCTCTGGTTCCATATTACTGGCTCCTGTGAGGATCACAAAATGCAAAATTTTAAAGAATAATTTAAAAAATTGACTCCTGACATCAGCTGTTCTCCACTAAAACAATATCCAAGTGTACAGCAAACACTGCAACAGGTGCATGTTTAAATACACGTTAAATGACACGACAAATAATTTGTTTGTGTGTTCTGTTCCATGGCAGTCGATATGGAACCTTTTACATCTCTACAATTATGGTTGCTAATGAACAGAGACATCTCAAGGGGAGGAAACCAACCTTAGGCCGGACCTTGGGAGTAGCCACCACCTTCTTCTTTGCCCTGAGGAGAGAAAAATACAGTTTGTTCACAACATGCAACATGCAGTCATTGTTTAAAAATATGACCCAGAACTCACGCGTAGCCTGTGAGATGACCATGCACCATAATGCTTTCTTTAAACAGCATCCTATGAAAAAACAGAGTTATTACACAGATAAAAGGCAATCTATGTTTGTATGTTTGTATATTCACCTGGCCTGCATCCAGCCTTTGGGCCACAGAGGCTTCACTTCACTCTCCATGAAACCCTTCAGGTAGTCCTCCAAAGACACAGAGTTCTTCCCCTCCAGCTCATAACAGTTCAGTTTGATCCGCACCAGGTTACACAGCAGTATCCTGACAAACCACAAGGTTACATTTATGGTAAAAAAAAAAGTACAGTTCAGAAAGAGTGTTTAGGACTTCATGTGAATTATACCTGAGTTTATCATCCCACTCAAACTTCTTACGTGGACCCATGACCCTTTTCCCAGGTTTCTCATCGTCGTCGTCATCTGAGCCATTTCTTTCTCCCTCTTCCTGTTGCCTGGAAAGAATAACAGTTACAACAATGGGATCATGACTTTATCCATTTCAGAAAGTAAGTCTGTGCTACAACTATGAACTGGTTTTGTTGCATTGTGTAGAATTTTGATTTGCATTGTTAGTTTGCAAATGGAAAACTCTCAAATCAAAACAAGGTGGACTTTTTTGGTCTGCATGCGCCGTAATTTACTACCCCAAACATTGCAGTTGCATTCAGTCCGACCAGTGCGACACTTGATAGGGATCCTTACTTTGCCATTTTTGCGATGCAGTCCATGTTGTACCGTTGGATCTGCTCTGGCATAACGCTGCACACCGCCAGTTTGAGTTTGAGCAGAGGAGTTCTGAGTCGGTCGTCCTGAAAAACAAGAAAGGACTTTGAAAAACTCAGAAAAGCATACACGGATAAACATAGAAACTAGGGCATACAGAGAAGAGCGTGTCGGCACTTTTCAAACTAGCACAGTATACTACAGCCCAGCACCAGGCGGGCGCAGCACCAGAACCATGTCCAATCTTAGTAGACCCCTTCTACTGGACCATATAGAGCTGGACACGGATCAATACCAAATGTCTGCTCCTCCGGCAGCAGACTCCTAACCATCCCCAAAGTCAGGACACACACCTTTTTAGATTAGCTTTTGATTAGTATTTATTATTCCATTCTATTTATCTTTTATTATTTATTTTATTGTATTGCTATTATTCATGTATTGTGTGTTCCTTTTAGTCTCACATTTTAGTGTTTTACTTATTGTATTATTTTTAGTGTACCCAGTGTTTCCTCTGGAGGAGCCCTCTGCACTGGGAGCAGTGGTTGGTGTGGCTGCGGGGGTCGGACTCTTGGGCCAGGTGGGGGCCTGGGGCCTCGGTTTCGTGTCTCCTCTGGGTCCTGTGTTGTCCCCTACTCCTGGTGCAGACGGCTCCAATTGGATGACGCTTTTTCAGCTGGTTGCATCTGAACCCTGCCAAGTCTCTCATCATGGTTTTATTGTTTTACTGGTGTGTGTGCATGAGTGTTCATGAGAGCGCGTGTGTGTGTTTGTCTGTGATTTGGGGTGGGTCTGTTGGGTGGTCTGGGGGAGGGGTCTTGGGCCGGCGGGATTGTTTTTAACCAAACTGTAAAGCACTTTGTGTTGCATCTTTTGTATGAAAAGCGCTTTATAAATAAAATTTGATTGATTGATTGAAATGCATAGATTTAAAAAAGGAACCTGTGTGGGCTATAATTATTTATATAAATAGTTTTATCTAGAGATTATTACATTTGTTGAAAGGAATAATTTATGTTTATATACATGAACAGAGTTACTGGGAAAAGTTATTTTGTTGGTACAGCCCAAGACCCCACTCGGTGCGTTTACAAGGAGAGGGAATACGGACGATACTGCAAAACTAGACTCAGACCGACATGGGACCAGAGTGGTTCCATTGAGCAGAAGGGGCTTCAAAATTCATCTTGAAGATTTGAATATAAAATTGCCGCTACACATTAAGTATAAGCACACTTTTGACAAACATGACAATGTTGTTTGATTTCCAAAAAAGTTCAGTTTCAGGCCAATACAGAGCTTTGAATGTAGTAAAAGGGGAGTACAATTATGCTTAAAAATATGTTGAAATAATAAAAATGTATATCTGAGTATTGGACATGCATTGTGCAGAAATCATGCACAAACGTGAAGCCGTCAGAACAAGGAAAACTAATGTTTTGGACAAAGATTTGGATATGAGAGCAGAGAAGACGGTGGAGGAGTTTTGGCTCCGATGCCATGAGCTTTGAAAAGTCTGCCTTTACGCACTCACAACATCTACATGTTTTCTCTCAAATGCCTTTATAAAACACACTTCTGCACTTTGTCTGGAACTACAGCATGAATGTTTAGAACTCATGCAAAACATCAAATCTAAAAGCACCTCCACATATTTTCAACCCCCTTCAATTTTTTGCGAAAAAAACCCCCCCAGCAGAAATAAGAAAAGTTCACAAAATCAAAAGTTCCTTTACGCACCTGAATGTTGAGGCTGAGTTTCTTGAGTCGTTTGAGCAGAGCTTCTTTGTTGCAAGGCACAAAGGCCTCGAGGTGGGAGTAGACGGCAGAGCGCACCTCTGAGGGCTGCTCCTGGACCTGCAGCTCGATACTGGGAAAACAGAAAGGGGTTTCAGTTTATGCGTCTGCACTTGCCCCATGTGAGTCAGTCCCAACTTACTCCAGCAAGATGTTGTTCATGTCCAAAGTGAAAAACTTCTTCCGGCCTTCTTCATCAAACTGTCTGGATGCCTGCGGCAACAAAAGTGTGTGTTTAAACTACCAGTGAGTATGGAATTCAGGCCCCCAAACTTGTTGAATTGTTGTATTTTTTTACCATGACAATAAATATGAAAAATATATTTTTTGTGAAAAATCTGGATCAGTGATTATTATTATTGTGGTAATGATAGTCACCAAAGTAGTCATAAATACACAAAAAGCGTTTGTGTGTACCATTCTCAGGTCCTCTATCCGTTTGGCAAGCGGGGCAGGCAGTCCTCCAGGCAGAGGAGGAGTCAAGGAGCTGCCCTGAGACACTCTGCTCTTGTGTGCCATCCCAAAGGAGCCATTCTCGCCCTGGCCCGGACTGTGAGGGGAGTCCAGCATCCCAAAGTCCAGGTCGCCCATCATGTCTTGGAGGATGTCGTTGTTAGCTGTCCCCAGCAGTGACATGACCACAGGGTCTGTGGTCAGGTCGCTCATGTTACACTCGTTGTTTCCTGGGGTTTTGGATTGACTGGTGAGCACTGAGCTGTTGGCAGTGGGCAGTTTGGGAGTCGGCCTCTGGGTCATTCCTCCAGGCAAGTGCTTCTTGCGCATCTCCTCCTTCTCCCTGTTAAAACGCCTCAGCATGTTTGCCAACTGAATGGAGTCCTTCATCAACTTCTTCCTCTTCTTCTTCTCTGGACGGTGAGCATTCAGAGCAGACACTCTACAACAATTTAGATATAGAAATAGATTAGACAGATCATTTTGACAGATTTGTTTACTGTCCTAAATCTATGGAGCAGAGCAAATGGATTACACAAAAACAGTTCAACAATTCATTTTAAAACAATATATTGTGTAGAACATGTATCAAGTAAGATTTACATATAAAATTGAAATAAAATATTTAGAAGTCTCACCCCAACTTTGGTACTTTATTTTTTCTTGGTTTCTTCTCATCCAGGATACCACCTTCTTGCTTCTTTCTTCGTTTTTTAATTACTCGTTCTTCTCCATCTTTTATTTTCTGCACAAAATAAATGTTCAGATCCAAATATATTAACCATTTAATACTTTGAAAGAAAAATCACAATTCCAAGTCAAGAAATGATACTGCTATAGCAATGGGGTCAGTGTAATGAGCCATTTTATCACTTTAGGACATTTGGCCAAGATGGGACATATGTATAAATTTCTCTGGGAAATGGGAGTCGTGTAAAAAAAAAATGCTTTTTCACACGACTCCCACTGATGACTGCCGCCTTTGTGTCCTTGGGCAAGACACTTAACCCCACTTGGCCTGAAGCCCCCGCTGGAAGATCAAGGCTCCTGTGGACTCACCACCTGCAGGAGGATCAGTGAGGGGCTGGTGCTATGTGTACTGGGTGCAGCTCTGACTGCCATCCCCCCGACCCAGAAATGGATTAAAGGGAAGAAGATGGATGGATGGATGTGCTTTTTTACATAAAAAAAAACAAAGACCTAAAGACTTTACCTTTAGGTGGTTTTCGGTTGCACTTGTGAGCTCCCCTTCAGAGTCAGATGTGGCTCTGAACTGCAGTGTTCCAGTATTGATGTAAAAGCCTCCATGTTTTGTCGTGAGAGAGGCCGGGACCAGCTCGTCATACTGATCACATGCAAAACAGAGTCAGTTTTCATTCTACTATAGGGGCAAACATTGGGGGGCAAATGCACGGTGTAAATGTTAACAATGACCAGTGTTGAGGCCCAATCCGATATACATCACAGAACAGTATAAACTGTGCGTGTATAAACTTATAACAAAAGATGTTCCTAAGATGTAATGGCAGTTACAAATACACAATAGAAACGCAGCACTCACAGCTTCAGAATTATCAATGAATGGATCAGTATCATCATAGCCATAACCAATATCTATAAGATCTTGCATGCGGTCTTTTTTCTTCTTTTTGGGTCCACTGCCACCCTGCACAGACAGGACAGGATAGTCAGCCTAACTACAGATCTGCACTCATATCTGAAGAATAAATTATGGTAATTTAAAAGTCAAACTTGCATATTTGTTCTCAAACTTTCTAGCCAGTTCTTCCACTTCACGCCTTTCCTTATCATCATCAGCCATAGGGTCATTGGGGTCAAGGGAAGGCGTCAGTCCTTTGGGTGTTGTTGAGCAATTTTTTTTAACCTAAAATGTACAAATAAACAGTCAATGGTGTTGACTGCACCATTTTAACACGTTTGCAGACTGCAGTAACGTGACAACATAGTAAACATAACAGCATTGCCATATCCTGGTGTTTTAGTGGTTTAATAGACCTAAACACACAGCACTCAGGAGTAAACAAAAATAATTCATTCAAAGTAGCTAAACTAAAATCATTCATCAATCAAGCCAAACGTCAGTAGGTTACACACGTCTGGTCCATTATGATAATGTTGTGTGTTTGTTGTGTATATGCAGCACAAGATACCATGTGTGATCATAGCACTTATCATGTTTGGAGATAGGGCTATTGCATTGATTTTGTGTATTGATGGACTGCGTTTAGCATATTTATAGTAAGTATTTAGTTGCACAAACATGGGCTCCTTGTTGGATCATGGTGGATTAGCCTCGAGTGCTGTGCCCACATTGTGTAGCCGTGTTGGAGTCACTGACCTGCGGCTGCGTGGAGTGCGTGAGTTCGGTGTAGTTAAACTCTACAGAGCCCCTCTCACTGGGCTCATTCAGGGATAGATCCAGGCGCATGGTGGGCTTACTCCCGCTTGTCTCGCCGTCTGTGGTGGTCCCAAAAAGACCCCCTCCATCTGCCTCTTTGCCCGCGGCACTTACACCTCCATCTTTCCCCAAAGTGATGTCCGCGCAGTCATCTTCACGGCGGCGCTTCTTACCGGGCTCCAGGCTCGGCGAAGCGGCGGTGAAGGATGAGATGGTGACAAAGGGCACTTTCCTGGGCTCTGCCATCGGACACTTCCCGACCAACCGTAGGCCACAACACAGGCAGCGCCACGGTCCTGTGCACGCTAAACCAGAGGTGGTCGACAAGTAGCTCGTTGTGGTTAGCTAGCTTCTCCAGAATGAGTGCTGCATGCAACACAATGACTTTTCAATCTCCACTGCCCCTTTTAATCCATTTACGGTGATTCCCGACCCCTGCGAAGGACTTGGACTGATCAAATTCCCTCTCTGAAGTGCTTCCATTAAATTTGATCAGCTACTACAAGGATTCTTTAGTAGCCATCTTGATCATTATTATCATTGAGAGGCTGTGTGCCTGTATGAAAAGAAAGCGGAAGGAGAGGAAAAGGAACACCGTTTGACCAATGGGAGCGCAGAAACACGCCCACCTGACCCGCACGCGCGAATGTAGCAGACAGCGGTTCATTACAGGCGGGAGGTTTGCGCCACGTGCCCTTTTTGAGCTCCCTTGACATTTTTAACCATACCTAATACAGATACGCATATTGGAGGGCACATTTAACACATTTGGGTCATCCTTATATGCAAATAAGATCATTCAACTTGCATATTAAAGCCATGTTCGTTGCATATGAAATATATATCCAATACACACAAGTAAAATCAAGATTAACCCACAACAAAATGAGTGTAAACACTTTTATTGTCAACATTCTAAGACCAGTCAGAAGTGGTGCCACCCCAGTCGGATGCCTGGGCTGTGGGGGCAGTGGACCAATCTTCCGTGGCAGGTTGAGTGCTCCAATCCTCTGCAAAAGTAAGCAACAATCAGCATCATAGGCACAACTCATGAAAGATCAAATTAAATTAAGGTGAATAAAATAAAATTCTGCTGAGAAAACCTCACCTGTCTTTACCGCACCAGGAGCAGGAGCAGCTAGAATAATATGAAAGAATGTTAAAACTTTGCTCAAGTGCAATTCCACAGACAAGGCAGCAACAATGCCTTACCAGCAGGGAACTGTTGAATGGGCACAGATGGCACAGCCACACCCTCAGACCAGTCAGCCACCTCAGGCTGAGTGAACTCTGCAGCAGGAGCACTCCATTCACCCTGGAACTCTTCCTTTCCAACAGCCTTCTCAGCAGCAGCCTGTTCTTCCTTCTCAATCTGAAACATTATGGATAAGATCAAATTAGGCACCATTCTAAGTCAAAGTCCAGACAGTTATTTTTTACCTCCTCTGGATCTCTGTAAAAGTACAGATCCGGCATGACCTCCCATGGGTGTTCCCTGGAGATTGTGCCCCTCATCCTCAGGACCTCTCTTGCCAGCATCCACCACATCAAACCCACAGAGTGGTGGCCCTGTAACAAAGAAAAGTGTTATACTGATCATGGTATAATTGTTTGAGCCCCATATACCCATAACATTTGATAGATTTATTATAATACATATGCAGCTATAACCTTTAAATGTTCACCTTGTTGTTGCAGGGGATTGCAATGTCAACATATCTCAGAGGAGAATCAGTGTTGCACAGAGCAATGGTGGGGATGTTCACATAAGAGGCTTCAGTGAGGGGCTGGTGGTCAGCACGGGGATCAGTCACAATCAGTAGACGTGGTTCCCTGAAAGCCGCCTGGATCTGATTGGTGAAGGTTCCTGGGGTGAATCGGCCATGGAACGTGGTTGCACCAGTGGCAGAGGCAAATTTCAGCACTGCCCTCTACAAACAGAACATTTTACATTAGAACAATATTCACTATTTGTTTGGCCACGTCTCACAGCACCACTCAAGGGACAGGAGTCCCCATGGCGTTTGTAAAACCTAGCCAGCTCACTTTCGCACTCTTCCGACACCTGAACACCAACAATGATGTCCGGCTTTAACAGAGTGCATTCAACCATCTGATGTTACCATTTTATTAGTATGAATACCATTCAATAAGTAAAGATCAAAATAGTCTACATATACAATTGGGGCTTAAACTCATGGCCAGTTTTATGATCTGTTCAGGACATATCTGGCGTCATACCTGTCCAGTGTTCCTAGACGAGATTACACACACATCTGCTGGGTTCTCAATGGCAACAATGGCTCTGGCGGCCAGCAGAAGCTTCTCCCAGGTCTTCTTCAGGTTAACGATGTACACACCTGTAACACCACTAGTTATTACACGTCATGATCATACTCCGTGCCTCCCTATTCCAACCTACCGTCACTTTTCCTTTTGTAGACGTACTGGTCCATCTGGAAGTCCAGGTTGGTTCCTCCCAGATGGGTCCCTGCAGCCAGGAACTTCAGCACATCCTCCTCCTTCATTTGAAGGACATCCAGACCTCCGGACATCGTGACCGCTTTCCCTTGAGCAACGAGTTATTGGGAGAGCTGCAAAATAAATAAATAAGTTGAGTATACCGGTGAGACGGAAACCACCATTGGGGCGCACGTCAGTTTAAGCAGTAGTAACACGGCTCATTCACTAGACTACACTAGCAGTATGTGCAGAATGATTCCGCAGGGCCATAGCAGCAGCACTTGCCTGCCCTCGTGCCGTTAGCATGTTAGCTCTGGATTAGCAGCTCTCATGAGACCAAAATGAGGGCTATTGTCTCGGATAAAGTGATAGATTGTGCGGTCAAATGCGTGTCTGGTGACATAGAGCCAATTGTTTAGGCCGTATTGAAAGTCTTTACGGGCAAATTAAGCCATTAAACTCACCACGAAACAACGCCGTATGGAAGTCTGTCCACACGGTGAAAAAGAGAGCGTTGGGCGGAAATGACGTAATATTTATACTCCGCATTCGAGGCCCTGATTGGTTAATGTATTATAACGAAAGGATTATTACAAATAACATGTTTTGTGTTTTCCTATCGGAATATTTATATGTAAAGACTCAATTTGTCAATGTCAATGTAGTAGTAGCAGCAGTAGTAGTTGCAGTAATTGTAGTCCATTCAACTACTACGAATGGATAAAACAAATCGAAGAGGCGCAAAAGCCCAAAATAAGTAATTGGTCGTCATCCTTTCATTGATTTCTTCCCTGGGTCGTTCCCAACAGATCCATGGTCGCTCCCCTCCTTATGGGTCCAGGAGCTCACCAGCACCAGATATTATAAAAGCTCCATGACCAGCACAGGGAAGCGTGGGGTAATACATCCGTGAAAGAGAGGCACAGCTTTTTCTCACGGGCCAAACCATAGACTAAATATTAAAACCATAGTGCCTGAACAGGGAAAGTGGTACATCATAACCATATGTTTCCAACAAGAACTGTGTCTTTATTCACAACATCACGGTTGAAATGAGTGCATACTGTCACAACAATTTATGTCCCAATGACCTTCAAAGTCGAGGATCTGGATTAGCTCGTAGGTCGGATGAGTATCCAATATTGGGAAGACATTTCTTTTCCCACTCGGTAACTCGTTTTTTATTTGTATTTTAAAATAGCAGCAGCAACAGTAAACAGATGTGTCCTCCAGGGGGCGCATTTGACTGAACAGAAGCAGAGGGTTACAGGCGGTCAGCTCGTAGGTCGGATGAGTTTCCCATATTAAGATAAAGACCATATTAAGACAATCCCCAGACGCCGTGAACCCGGTGAAAGACCACTATGTCGAAATGTTTACTGAAGATAGTGTGTTTAGGTCAGTACACATGCCCTAGATCAGGGGTCCACAACTAAATTGGCAAGTGGTCTACTAACTTGATCAGCTCAGTAGACTGGGTCAAGACATCATGCAACCTGACAAAAAAATAAAATTATGATGTGGTTAGATCAGCGAAAACACATTGATTTTTATAGAAATCCATTCAAGCAATTTAAATTGGTTTCATTGCAAATAATGAAACTAATGAAAGAAAAACGATAGGAATCCTTCAACAACGACTACAGTAGTAACAAATACTATGAATATATGGGATTATAATTCACCCCATAACATTCATGTTGTGCTATGCATTTTATGCATATCGGTTTTGTTATATCTGAACAGCTGTGGTGAAACTTAACCCACAAAGTGTAATAAGGAGTAAATAATAATAATGCATAATACTCACTATACCACAAAAATAGTGAGAAACATGTTTGGAAACAATCCCAAAAGGAAGTTACAAAAAATCGCTCTAAAAAAAAGTCTTTTTTTACACATTTTATGTGTAAATATGTTAGTTACAACAGCACAAGAGCACTAAATTAGTGCCGGCGTGGCTAATCGGGAGAGCCGGGAGGTTTCCCGGTGGGCCGGTTGGGCTAAGGGCCGGTGGGCTGGATGTTGTATGTTGCTGGTTGGACTTGGCCGGCGGCCGTGCTTTCCTGACACCGCTGTTCACAGCAGCCTTCTCGGACCTGTCGCTCGCCCGTGCGCACTGCCTCTCTCTCTCTCTCTCTCTCTCTCTCTCACCCACACACACGCACACACGAGTAAACAGCACACACACTTCTGGCTAGTCTCATTTGGCCGCTTTCATTGGTTACGATGTGTTCTGCAACGGCCTGATTGGTTGTCTGTAGATTGTAGGCGGGATTAACCGAGAGCGCGGGCCATAGATCAGGTTGAATGACAGATAGAACTGAAGCAAGCGCCGTTTCTCACAGACATGACATCTGTCCAACACGAGTGTTTTTAAAATGGAAAGGAACAAAATCAAGGGCGGAGCAGAAAAGATTAGAATAAAAAAAAGGAAAGCTCTTGAAGCTGAAGCAGCCAAATGTGCAAAGTTGGTAGTTTTGCTCCGCCGATGAAGAGGCATCAGGCCGCGGTAAGCTAGCAAAAAAAAACATGCAAAACACTGTGGCAAAACATGACGACGTGATTCTCTAAATGATTAGCACTCCGTCATTACATTTATTGCTTCTTGGGTCCTCAGATACAACAATCGTTCATTCATATTAATGAAGAGCCTCAGGAATGGGCAGGTAAAAACCAAAAAGAAGATTGTATTTTTAATCAAATTTGACTAAGCCACAAAGGCCATGAATTTATTTATTTAATAATGTATAATGTATATTGCATAAATTACATTTTTAACTTCTTTGTACATTAGGAAAGTAACAGTTGAATATTTTGTGTGTTTGTCAAAAGATGTGAAGCATTTATGCTCATATCTACAGAAAAGACATCCTTTGTCATTGGATAATGACAATTATCATAAACAAAGTTGCATAAACAAGTCACTTCTACAGAGTTTACTCATGTTTTAATGTGCTTCATTTTGCTATTGTTTATTTGGGTTTGATTGATTTAAATAGTGTGCAGTTTGTGTTTTCTCGTCTTGATAGAGGTTAACATTTAGTTTGCTTTTAGTTCTCCCCTGGGACAACATTCAAGTACGTTAAGATAAATTTTGGTTTTGTATAAAGTTGTAGCAAGCACTGTTTTGTCTTAGTGTTGTATTTGCATTAGTCTTTGTTTTTGTTTAGTCTTGAAAGGAGGATGATAGTTTAATGGTTTCAAGTCAATTCAATGTATTATAAAAAAAATATAGCCAAATCTTTGTGAATGACAATTATTTGAATGAAAATTGACATTGTTCTAAAATTTGTGAAATTCATGCTTTTTATATCCACATAAGTCTAGGGTCAGTCTAAAATTTGCTACAATTCATATTGTGATACCAGAATATTCAAATATCATGATTTATTCAAATGCATTATTGAGTTATTTTGTGACTAGCACTGAGAAGTCTAAAGGAGTGAACGAAGAATAATTTTAATACCATTAGTCTTGTAATTTACAAAACTTGATTTTAGGCCACCTGCTGGTTGTTATGGATATTACAACAGCAGGCAGTTCAGTTTTTGTTTTGATAGACTACTTTATCAGAAGGGCCGGTCTGACCCAGAATTCCCGGGCCAAAAAATTGTCCCACTCCGGCCCTGGCACTAATACTCCTGTGTCTAACTTTACATAAACCTGCTTTAACTTTGTTCTTTGTGTGTCTGAGAGTTACACGGGCCAAACCCACAGGGACCGAACAGGGAAAGAGGAAATGCAGTGCATGGTCAGGAGTCACTGTGTGACACTGATGTCAGTGATGTCACATTGTGGAAGAAATCCTCCAGTGAAGTTTGAACAAAAAAGAAACAGATGTGACCTTAGCAACGCGCACCTGAAGCACGTGCACTGAGCGTGTCTTATATGAGCATGATATCTAATGAGGAGCGGTGAGAAGAGAATACGTTTTATGCTCAGAATAACAAAGAACGTGTCCAAATATATATTAACATATGAACGTGTATATATATATATATATGCACGTAATCTGACAGGAGTCCACATGGCCTTCTATGGCAGGCATTGAACCCGTCTCTGCTGTGAAGGGACCACCACCTCCACATGAGAGCTGTGAGGTTAGTGTAATAGATACATGGCTGTGAGCCATAAACACAGGGACACCCCCTTTGAGGAAAGAACAGTGTGTGTTAGAAGACAATCTGCCCCAGTCCCATGTCCCGTGCGGGAGTTTGCCCGGGGACATCCATGAGAAGGCCGTGAGAGCAAACAGCGCCGTCTGGCGGTGAACTGGAGTCGTGTTACATAATTTACCGAGCAATGGGCAATGTGTCACACTGGCCTCTACACTGTCATAAATACGGCTGTAACAGAGCTCTGAGGATCTCACATTTGCTTTTCCTCACTAGTGTACCAAAATAAAACTAAAAATAATATTCTTATGTTCTTTTGAACAAGGGACAACCTCAACGCACGTGCCTCTTGTTGAACTATTCTAGTTCAACTATTCACTAATTTCACACACATGTATGATGTATATTTGGCCCGTCACATCTATTGGATTAGCTTAATAGCCAGAACCGTGAGGACAACCCTCACACAGACACTAATCTCCCTGACAAAAGAGCCAAATAGTGATGCTCTCCCTGTATTAAAAATATAACTTGTTTTTCTAAGTTGAAGACAGCATGTTGTGGCCTGATATGTTTAAAAACGAGTCTCCTTCTAAGAGAAACATAATAGTGTTTATTGGGCACAAAGTTATGAGTCCCAGCTATAATTCCAAAAGCATTGATTTGAAATCAGGTATGTGCCTCTAGAATACTACTTGTATTGCCTTGTTCTCATTTTGTTAATTGATACATTTCAAAACAAATGGATGTCACTTCATAATCCTTATACATATTTATCAATAGGCTCTTTTAAAAAAGAAAGGAAACTATTTTTTAAAAGACTAAACTTTAACACGTATCTGAAAAGCAGACGATCTTCAAACTAACACAATAACGTATGTGCCCATATTGCCTAAAGCTCGGGTACCCAACTCTCAATTTTCTGAAACAAGGAACGATGAAATAAAATCCATCTAACTCTTTTCTCACTCGCTAACAAGTGCATTTAAAAAAAAGTAGCAGCAGCAACAATAGACAGATGTGTCCTCCAGGGGGCGCAGTGAACAGAAGCAGAGGGTTACAGGCGGTCAGCTCGTAGGTCGGATGAGTTTCCCATATTAAGACAAAGACCATATTAAGACAATCCCCAGACGCCGTGAACCCGGTGAAAGACCACTATGTCGAAATGTTTACCAAAGATAGTGTGTTTAGGCCAGTACACAGGCGCAAGATTCACTTAAAGTTTTGAAATAATCACACATTTACGACCAGGGCATTATAAAAATACTAAGTAATGATAATGATGGACTGTGGTTTAGTGTTTCTCAGATGTCCTGGTAACAACAAGTCATGAAAGAGCAGAGTTTATGTCTAAATCAAGGATACACAATATTTTCCCAGACAGTATTTTTATATTATTATTTTCTTTGCTGTCTACCTTCCCTATCTGTAATTTGGTGCAATTTTAAAGGACCCCCTCAAACAAATACAGGACTGGAGCACATTTTATTGTTCTGGTTTTCAAATATATATTTTTTATCACGTTTCTAATAAATTAACTTAATTGGAACCAGTTGTTAAGATTCTGAAAATATACATAAATGTTCTTTTACTAGTTTACCATTGAAGTCAGTGCCTGTGCGTCATTCCCGGACACTTGAGACCAGAATCTCATTTTCTGATACTGTGCTGCAGACCGCCTGCACTTTTCATAAGTTCTATCTTGCTCAAAAATGGTCATATGTGTTCATACCAGAGACCGTAAAGTTCAGACCTTGGTCACTTCAGTGTATGACCGTGCCTGAGTACCTTGTCAGGTCAGACTTCACAAGCCAAAGATAACCGGCTGATCAATCATTATGTTGATTCACATGAAGATTATGAGCACACACACAAACAAAATAACAATGCGTTTTAATAAATAAATCCCAAAAACAATTGAATAATCTTAAACACTCTCAATATATAGCAAACTAAAGAACAAAAGTAAAAAATATGCATATAGTAAATAAAGTGACACAGAGCCTGTAAAGGATTTGTGAAATGAAAAGTGCAATGTCAAATCTGGTTTTCTTCCATAAAGTTAGAATATTGACAAAAAGTTATTATCACCAGTTAATACGCGCTTATTAAAATATATTCTTTTATTATCTAACAAAACAAAGGCCTGACTCCACGTAACAGTACAGTGCAGTCCATGGTATTTACACATGACCTCCATGTTTGGTCAGAGTTCTTACAGTGACTAGTTTTTTGCTGTGATTTCTTGAAAGTTCTTTCTCAGGATTTAAGTCCCACATGTGCCATCATCTGCTCGTAGACAGTCCAGGCCATGGCAGCCATCATCGTCCTCCTGAGAAGTCTTGGCACCGCGCCTCGGAAGAAGCCATCCACACCGTGTTCCTGCACACAGAACACGGTACATTTCAACAATCTGAATCTCATTTTTGCCAATTATAAAAAAATATTTGGAAGTGAAAGTGTGCCTACCACATAGATGGATGCGATGGCCTGTAGTGTGCGGACTTGAGGGTTGATTTGTACGCGGGTTTTGACCACATCTGCAGGCTGAGTGATCAAAGATGCCAAAACCCCAGCTAGAACGCCACAGAAGAAGTTTGCCACAGGGGCTGAGACGGTGAGACTGATTTCTGAAAGGGGAACAGACCAGATGTAATAATAATACTAATAATGCATTGGTTTTATATAGCGCTTTTCAGGACACTCAAAGACGCTTCATATGTCGTTATTCTTTCACTCCATACACGGTGGTAATAAACCACTCCTGTAGCCACAGCTGCCTTGGGGCACACAGAAGTGAGGCGACCAGTATGTGCCAGTGGCCCCTCCAACCACCCCCAGCCATTTACTCACACATCAAACTCATTCTATGCAATGTGGAAAAGTGTCTTGCCTAAGGACAGGATCTGGCTTTCACATGCAAGGATGGCCACAAACTAATACAACCATCGCCAACCTGACGTGTCCTGCTACTGATTTTAATGAGCCTTGACAGACACTTTATATATTGATATCATCTTGTGTATTTTGGGTATGAGTAGTTTTATATTTGGAACAGGTAAATGCGATACAAACATATTTGCATATCCAGCTTCTCCCAGCGCTCACCTTCGGGCAGTGCAGCTTTGGTCTGGCTGTAGAACATGACATAGATCCCAGAGAAGGGGACATCTCTGAGCAGCGTGGCCAGAAGTCCAGAGAAGAGAGCTCCTGGACCTTCTGCCTGACACACACTGCGGAGGGCCCCTGTCACACTTCCATAGCTGTACCTGCCACACTACACAGTAACAACAATTAGACAAAGATGGAAGACACTATCTTAAAGAGAGGCCATGCATAGAAAAGGCTCTGACTTCAAATCGTGTCTTGATGACAGTGACTGGTAGCATTAGGACCCCAGCCACAGTGCGGGCTCCTGCTCCCAGCAGTACCGCCTCCATGGCTCCAGGACTCTTCCCCTGGACTAAGTGCTGCTTCAGGGTGAAGTATGTGCTGAAGTATATGCCCACACCAGGGATGGTTCGAACAAATGACTGAAAATAATGAGACAGAGTGAAGATTTAAGCAAACTATACTCAAAATTGTTTCTGCCAGAAAAAGCAATTCCTTATTTAGAAAATATATAGTCTTTTTTTGTGATATCACTAAGGAAAAGTTTTACAAACAGAATACCAAGTGAACTTACCGGGGAAGCCCCCTTCCACAGTCCGAGGAGCTTCTCTGTGCGCACAATGTTCTGAAACACCGTCATCATGCCCACTCTGGCCGTGCTGCAGGACACAACACAATCACAGTTAATCAATACCGCCTCAGCTCAGTGATGTGAATGTGTCAATGACGTGGTCACTTCAGTGACTTTGACGGTGAGAACATGACTGACCCTGGCTGAACACCAGTCTGTAGGGTCTGCAGACGGGTCTTCACCAGGTCCAGAGGCTGGAACAGCAGCGTGGAGCAGGTCCCACTCAGAGAGCCACACATGAAGGCTTTGAGAGCAGGATGAGCCTGCGCACAAGACAAGTTTTACTGAAAGTGGACAAAGAAACGGCCGTTTGAAATAAGCTGGGGATGTATACGCTTGGATAGAATGGGCACTTGTGAATTTCATGGATTTAACCAATGATCAATGATAATTAAAATTATGTTACTAAGACCATATTCTATATTTTTTCATAATCTGACACAAATAGTCATAGAATAAGATTATAGATAAACATACTTATAAATAAACTCAATTTCAGCACTGATTACATAAGTCTGCTTTCTAATTGAGGCTAAAATAGGTTATCAGGCGGCTGTTATCTGTTCTAGAGAACGCCATAAACTGCATTTAACTGCAACTGAGATGATTTATTATACAGAGAAAATAATGCGTACTTACCAATGCAAATTCCATAATTAGATTACTTCAGCTCCCAGATAGAAAATCCTAAAACATGGAGAGATTTAATTGTCTGGATCAGCAGATTGTGAGCCATAATCACACACATACAGCTGCACATTAGACAAGTGATGGTGCACGAGTTTCAGAGACTAAAGCCAAGACACACAAACCTGTGTCTCATGACAACAGATGTGCAGGAAATTAGTCAGGTACAAAACAACTTGATAATAGAATACAGTGCCTTGCGAAAGTATTCGGCCCCCTTGAACCTTTCAACATTTCGCCATATTTCAGGCTTCAAACAAAGATATAACATTTTAATTTTTTGTCATGAATCAACAACAAGTGGGGCACAATCGTGAAGTGGAATGAAATTTGTTGGATAATTTAAACTTTTTTAACAAATAAAAAACTGAAAAGTGGGGCGTGCAATATTATTCGGCCCCTTTACTTTCAGTGCAGCAAACTCACTCCAGAAGTTCAGTGAGGATCTTTGAATGATCCAATGTTGTCCTAAATGACTGATGATGATAAATAGAATGCATCTGTGTGTAATCAAGTCTCCGTATAAATGCACCTGCTCTTTGATAGTCTCAGGGTTCTGTTTAAAGCGCAGAGAGAACCATGAAGACAAAGGAACACACCAGGCAGGTCCGAGATACTGTTGTGGAGAAGTTTAAAGCCGGATTTGGATACAAAAACATTTCCCAAGCTTTAAACATCTCAAGGAGCACTGTGCAAGCAATTATATTGAAATGGAAGGAGTATCAGACCACTGCAAATCTACCAAGACCTACTGCAGTCTGCAGTTCATCCAGAGCGATCATGGGCCTCTTGGCTTCATCTCTGATCAGTCTTCTCCTTGTTTGAGATGAAAGTTTGGAGGGACGGCTGGGTAAATATTGTGACTGCAGTACCACTTTTGGCCAGATTTTTACATATTGCTCCTTTAAGTTAATAATAATAATGTCATCACCAACTTCCAAATATATGTAGGCTAAAGCCACACTGTGGATCTTTCCAGCCAAAGCTACCACATATGCATGCCTGACTCAGAACTAGTAAAGTAAGTACAGTAGTACTGCTTCTATTAGAAAAAAAGGGGTTCTTACTTTGAAAGCAGTTCAGAATTCCAAAACGAAGCAGAAACAAAAGCCAAAGTGAAGTAAATCACATTCAGGCCACATGTTCAAGGAAAAGGTGAGAAGACAAAATCATAGATCACTTGAATGGACTCAAAGCGAATGCGAAGGCGAAACCAGCCGGCTCCTGCGGAGCTCAACGTGGGCGGAGCTCCGCCGAGCGGGAGCTAGGCATTGAGGACTGTGCGTATGACGTTAATATAATACATCCATGGCGTATGACAGAGAAGGAGAAGAAGCAGAGGAGAAGAAGAGCGAAGTAGCTGGCAGAATGGAGGTACTGTAGGCCAGTTTTTTCATTCTGTTTTAACGTGCAACTTTGCTATATTTGTTACCGACAAGGAAGGAAGTAACATTATTTTTATTTTAAAATAAGTTATACTTGTATGTATCTGCATTCTGCACGGTTGGACTTCTAATCTAGTATACCTAGCATTACTGTTGCAGCGAAAATTATATAAACCTGGACTTAAAAACGACTTTTCTGGGTTTTAGATTCATATTTTAGATCAAATATTTTATTTGATCTAAAATATTCCATGCATTAACTATTTTGATTCATTAAACAAATTAAAATAATTAATTAATAAAATAAAATAAATGGAAACAGAACTCTATATCTTATTTGTGTGGGGCCGTTCTGTTCAAGCCCGTTTCAAGTTCCAACCTCTTGTTCAGTTTCAACTTTGTTCAAAGTGTTTATGCATTTGAATCAAAAGTTGATTTTAGTTCAGTTACTTTTAGTTACTTCTGCTTACTCTTTGCACAGACACATAAACCCCTGGAGGGAGCTTGGCGTGAATGATGTTCAGGTGAGACGTTACTTCATAGTATTTGCTAACATTTACTATTTTCTTGCCATTCTTTTATTAAAAGACCTTGTTCACACCTCAGGGCCTAACAAAGCAAGGGTGCTCCAACAACTGTGGCGTGTTTGTTTTGATGGTAAGACCTATTCAATATGTTATATCTTTGCTGTTATCTGTAAAATGTTTGCTTGCTACATTAAAAACACATTATATGTATTGGAAAATTGTATCCTGGGGAAATATGCATGACATTAGTACATTAACCAGTACCTCTTGACTTACAGTACACGCTGTACATTGTAATGGGGGCCAATTGTGACTTCAGAGAGGTATGTGAAAATTGTGACACATTACGCTTAGTATACAACTTATCATTCCTGAACACATATTTGAATCTTCCTTTCTATTTTCAAAGGAAAACATGCTGCAAATTAGGAGATGGTGGTGTCTTGTCCTCCTACAGAACTTCCCCATGCCGTAAGTGCCCTCATGATCACACTTTTGAATCAGATCCTTTTAAATACTCATGGTCAACAGACCAACATGAATGTTTTCATAGTAAATTAATGTTGTCATTACATCATCAAGGTCTAAGGAAACCAGATTGCAGGAAAGAAAAAGACGGAGAAAGCAAAAAGGAAAACAGGTGAGAGTTGATTAATTTGTCCTGTAGTCAAACTATTGCTTGCAGACTAAAGCATAATCCCCCCCATTTATTTCAGGATCTGGAAGTGGTCCCTCCAAAAAGTATTCGGCTTTCTGAATCTGTCTCTGAAGCATCAGGTATTGTTCAAAACAGTATTATTGTACACAACCCCCAAGGTTGTAGAGATGGGATGTGACGTAGCTGGTTTTGCTGTAATTTCTCAATTTTCATTAAACCAGTATACTTAAAATAAGCTACTGATCTTTTTTAGAACTTGCATTGTTATTATACCTTTAAGAACCATAATCTGTTTCCTTTCTAGCAAAGGCTGAGAGCTTGCCGGAAGTGGGAACTGGGAACGGAGTATGTTACCCGTTGTGAGCTTTTCTTATTTCACTGTTTGCTGCCTTCTTCAACCTCTATTTTAATATTCATTTTCTTAATTTTTCATTAGGAGGATTCCCTGCTTATGGACACCTTAACGGCAGCAAGGTGGTGTGGCACAAGATCCTTCAAGGGAAAACTTTACCTTCCCCAGGTCATCACCATGAACAAGGAAGATTCCTTGAGGGCAGTGGAAATGCTGCGCATGTGTGATGGCCTGGATGAAGAGTATAAAGAAGACCTCAGTGAACCGTTCATGTTTAGTTTGCAGGCAGACTATGAGGAGTTCTGCAAGGAAATTATGGACAAAAGGCAGCTGCAGGTGTTTTCCGGCTTTGAAATGAGATAATTTTCTGCTCACACATGCTGCATTTCTTTGCATTTTCACTTTGTTTTGGTTCTCCTAGTGTGGTTTTTGGTGATTTTGTTTGTACTTTTTTTATACCTGTGTTCCGGTTATGGATTTTGTTTGTGTTATAAAATTTACCTTTTTGAAACATCAAGTCTGCATCCTTGGGTCCACTGTCTCGCTACCCCACCTCAAACCTCGGCATGTTTTAAGAAGTGTCAGTGGCACAATTCAGTCTCTGTTCTCCTTAATGTAGCTGATATAATTGAGTGGATACATTTATATAAGAATTTTTATTTTTTTAAATGAAGGCAGCATGGATAAAAAATAATGGACAGTAAAAAAATAAGGCTTTTGACAAGTTGAAAGTAGAAGCCTGATATTAAATGTTGATTTCACTTCACTGTTCTAGTTCAGTGGGAGCTGAACCTCATTAAAAAGTTGTGTGTAAAGTTGTGAGGGCTCATGGAAATGTAATCATATTACTATTATTTTAGTATCATTTATTTTATGAGACAAGAATGCATATAGAATATTATGTAACCTTACTATTATGTAAGCTGGTATTTACATTTGAGACAAAAAGAAACAGGTTTTACCAAAGATTTACATTTTGACACCAGATGTGATCCTGATATAAATAACAATGAATGGTGTCCCATACAAAAGCTTTTTATATTATTACAAACTTCGGTCAGAATCGGTCAGAATCAGGTGCAATAATAAATAATGGTACCAAAAATAGTTTATAAATATAATATACAAAGGAGTAGAAGAATGAAAAGCATATCGGGACCGATAAATATTAATTATTTTTTAAAATCATCAACTTGATGATTTTACCCTTGATCAAGATTAAAATCAGGGTAAAATGAAAAAAAAAAAACGCTTCCGTTAAAAAAAAGAAAAAAAAAAGAAAATAGGAAACATTCAATATTTCAATGAAAAAGCAGTGAAATTGTATCTGTACATTCGTTGAATAGTTCCCTTTAGCTCATGGTGAAAACTCCCCCTTCTGCTCCCTCATCTCGGAGCTCAGCGTTCATTTAGCAGCCCTCTACCGCCCTCTACTGCCCACGAGAACAAAACACTAAAGGTTAGGGTACACTAACACATTTCTGTAAAATTACAATGAAATTTCAACATTAAACAATTGTTATTTTGAAAAACAATTCAAACATGCAAATTTAAGTATAAATTGGTTAAAAACCTCCAGTGGCGTTTTATTACCACAATTATGTTATTACAATAACATATAATCACATTGTGATTTTATGGTATTGTAACCGTAATTTAACAAACTTCTATTTTTGGAATGCTGGGAAATTTTTGCGAGCAACCATGAGTGTAAAAGGTACCTCTTACACATATAAACTCCTGCTTTAGTTAAAATGGCAGTTTGACATTAAGCATGTTTTAGAAGTAAAGATTTCTACAACTTCGTTGTATAAACTGAAGATTTGAAAAAAAAAATAATTTAAAAACGGAGTTGAAATAAATTAGAAAACAGAAAGTCATATGGTGTAATACTACATTAACATTAAAAAGTTGTTATTGTTGTATGTGAATTAACAGGAACATACAGTTAAATCCTGAAATCACAAAGTCATGTGTTTCAGTGAAACAGTCTTTAACCGTTAAAATTAGCAACGGTAATGCCATGTTGAGAAAACTGTAAATTTCTGGAACCATATCTGCCAGCTATTTACCGTTTTTCTACAAGGAAATTCTTTACAGTGTAGGGTGTGTAACACGCACACAGGACACTTGTAGCAGTTAAGAAAGCCTTTATTTGTTATAACATTTCACAATAGGATTTTAATTCCAAAAGCAGACAGACAGAAAAAGATGCATATTTCTCCATAATTCCTTTAAGTGCGAAAGAGTGAGCCGCTTTGAACAACACGTTCCTCTCACTTCCCAGCAGTGTGAGCCGCATCTTCGGGACAGTTTTCATGAAAAAATGTCTTTCAGTGATTGTGATTTTGAATGTGCCTCTAGTCTATGACAACATTGCGTATCTCATAAAACTGTGCCCAGGGAATAGAGCCTCTACCCTCCCACCACCTCCCATTCACGTTTAACCAAAACACGGACACACATAAAAATCAATGTAATGTCTGGAAGACAATTCTGCTCAGTGGAATCTTGCCACATGTTAAAGCCGTAGTGAGAGTGAACAGGACTCATGTGACTGGCAGTGGTTTACAATGAAAGATTACCAGTATTTATGTCAGTGCAAAATTATTCAATTCGGCACAGTTTTCATTCTGCCTCAGAAGATTTTCCATTAGGTGCATACGATAAGCTGAAAAGCGAGTGCAGCTAAGTTAATAATACATTTCAGCATATAGACCTTCATAATAATCTGAGGCGCCGAGCGATAGCAAGAAAAACAAAGTTCCATTTTTAACCATTATAAAAAACTTTAAAATACAAATCTATATTTTGAGACATTACTTTGGTCCCCATCCAGTAAATCAGTCTTCATATCTTTAACTTTCTTCAATTAGAAAAATAGATCATTAGGACTACTCATAATTGTGTTCCTTATAAAAATAGCATAATTACTTTTCCCAGAGAGACAGAGCATTGTTGTACAATGATTGTCCCTGTGTACTAGCATCTCTGTATGCATAGATTGTCAAAGATGCTCAGATATTGTTTTCATGGAAAGATCCCCAGACACTAGTTTAATAGAACTGTCTTCTCTTCTTACGAGTTTGTACAGTAATGTTTAAAATGCAGTTCATCTGTGCGGTTTGCAGATGGTGTCATTTCACTCAGGTTTGACCTCTGGGACTTCACTCTTTTCGCTCTCCTCATCGCTCTCGATGCCAGAACGTATACGCCGCAATCCAAAAGTGGGAAGGTCACCACGCCTGAACAGCAAATGTGAAACGCATTTAAATGTGCAATAATAAACAAAGGATAAATGAAAAGGTAAGAGTGGATGTTCACCTGAGCTTGTTCTTGAGGGTGGTCACCTCGCGGTTCATGGCATCCGCAGACTCTGTGGCGTCCTCCAGCTCCCTTTGCAGTTTCCGCCGGTTGGCGTTGGCTCTCTGGGCCTCCTCTTCAGACTCTTCCAGCTGACGCTTCAGTTGCTTCATGCGAGAGTTCAACTTGTCAGCCTGTAATACAAAGATGAGTTACCCGCCGTCTTCATGGGCGATTCTGACACATTTCATAGAAAAAGCATATATTTCTGTCCAAACATTTTAACCACAAACACAAATGTGCAAATGCGTTCAGCTGTTTCTTGCAGTGAGTAGTGTTCATTTATTCATATAATCTGTATTTAAAACAAACATGAATCGGTCGCCTTCTTGGATTTTGATCAAAGCAGAGAATTCTAACAATACCTCCTGGTCATTCCTTGTGCTTCAGAAGTGACCTTTTAGGAGACTCGTGTGGTTTGGTTAAGTCACGTTTAATACAGGTTAAAATATGTTTTGTTTTTCCTTGACACAGGAAAAGAACAACTAAACAGAAAATTGCCCTGGAGGCAGGGCAAGTCCATGCTCACAGTTCTGAGATCTGTGATTGGTCTTTTCTAAGGAGGACCTGAGAACTAATGCAGCTGGTCAGAAAGTAGAAGGTCTGGGCAGTCGAGCTACAGTCGAGTGTAGAGGGAAATTCCCATCTGAGAATGGTCCACAATTATGTCATTTTTGATGGGCATAAATATTGCTGATAATATAAGTCTTCTTACCTGGTCCTTGTACTGTTCTGTATTGCGCCTCTCGTCGTCCACCTGCAGGAACACCTCCTTCATTTTCTTCTCTGCGCGTCTCACAGCCTTCGTGGCAGCCTGCCTCTCTCTAAGTGAAGAGCAATCAGACTTAACCAGTGCGTTGCATACTTATTTAGAAACAAACACTTTCTAATCCTGTTTGTGTCAAAAAACACTGTACCTGGTCTCCATGTCAAGTTGCTCCTCCAGTTGGGCAATCTTTGCTTCCAGAGCAGTCATGTTAGCCTTATATTTGGACTTGACTGTTCCTTCCAGCTCCTGAAGCTTCAGTTTCAACTCTTTGTTTTGGCGTTCGAGTTGCGACCGTGCCCCCTCCACGCGCTGGCAGGTGCTGCGCTCTGCTGTCAACTCCACAGTCATCTGGTCCGTCTACACAGAAGCAAATTTGATCATTTGTAAATGAGATATTAGAGAGTTGTTTTGACTATAGTTCATACCTGGAGCATTGCTTTTTTGTATCTGTCATTGACCAGCTCAGTGTTGCATTGCTCCTCCTCCAGCTCCTCTTCCAGTTGAGCGATACGGGCCTCCAAACGCCTCCTCTCCTCAGCTGCCTGAGCACTGAGTACAGGTAGAGGAGATTTCAAAATGGCTCAACACAGACAGACAAACATGTTGCTTTGCTGTATTTGATGCATTTCAAACATGTATAGTATAAAAACACACTTCTTAGTGGCCTGGTTGTTGATCTCATCCTGGAGCTCGTCTCTTTCCTGTTGGGCCTGTCTCTTCACTCGTTCTGCAGAGGCAAGCTCCTGCACAATACACAAGAGAAGATCAGGAATTTTTTATACATGCTAAATAATTAATGTGCGTCATGTGTATCAACAGATATTTAATAGATGAAGTGTCTTTTTGGAAAGTTTAAAGCCGTGACTTGCTCTGAACCTGGCCAGGCCTTGAGTGAGAAACAAAACTTGGCTTGAGTTGTAGAATGGCTATAATTAAAGCCTTGTCTTTTAGGGTTTCTAGAAACTTATCACATATTGAGACAGATTTTTGACCCAAACATTGTCCAGGTTTGCCACACCAAACCTGGAGTGTGGGGTGTGTGGCAATGTCTACAACTGCTGTTGACAAAACAGTATCCAGACCTAACACATGCATTTGTTTAAAGCATTTCATTCTATGAAATGTCTTATTAGTGAAGTTGTTATGATGGAAAGTAAAGCCCCAACTTCCCCTTAAAGTCTTTTACTCCAACCACTTTTCATCCAAATTATGCTTTTGGTCCATCTACCTT